AAAACATTACATCTATGCCGTGATTTTATTGCGGATATGTAACATGTAACGAAGCTACTGCCGTCATCGTGGGTGACCTTGAAGGTCAGAATTCTTGTTGACGCTGTTATAAAATCCAAGTCCCCATATCCAAGTGTCACAGCATGCGTGCAAACATGGTATTTTAACCATTCCCAAAAATCGCTCAAATTACCTCATTGAGGGCTTGTTTGGAAGAGGAACGATTTCCGCAGATTTCTGTCTTAGGGATTTTTTAAATATGGCCGCGATTATGAATTATCAGTATTTAAAGTTAAAACACTGCGTTTTTAGCTCTTCTTTTGACTGTAAGTCGAGTTTTAGTTAAAAATAAAAAAATCCTAAGACAGAAAGTTTAAATTTATTGTAATATTTCTAAAAATCCAAAAATTTAACCTTATTTTAATTTTCGGGGCCTCTTAAAATCAGTTGTTTGGTTCTCGTGAACCCTTTTTGAAATCCGAAATTGATCTCATTTGGAAGCAAATGTACACAAAGTGGAGCAAAGGCAGTGCAAGAATAACATTTGAGGTAAACAAAATCACTTATTACATTTTATTTTGACGAGTATTTACTCTCCAATTACTTTTGTTTATTTTCAAATTTTACCCGTTACCCCGGCCGGCCCGGGACTCCCGCGCGGCCACGTTCGAACGCGTTCTGTAACCCGATACCTCCCTAGTAATGCGACTTTTAGCCTAGCAACCGACCGCCGTGTCTGATCAAGGAGGCTATATCAAGTCCAGCGTACGCACCACTATGTTTGGCTGACCCAAAAAAGGCTAGGGTAGGGTGGGCATCTCATATGAGGAGGACCTGAAATTAACTGGAGGGTTTTTCCTAGGGTTAGTGGGGTTACAAGAAACACAACATTTTTTTCCTAGGCCTAGTAGACTTGTTTTACTTTATTGTGCCAATTTGTGCTAATTGTGTGCTATTCAGTGGGTGATTACAACTTGTTTCTTTGTGTTTACTTTCAGCTGAACAGTGCCCTGTTTGTGACTGAGGGAACTGTATTTGTGGTGCTCAGCAATGGGAAGAACACATGCACAAGGGGCGCAGACATCATCAAGGGCATTCGTGCAAAGGTGAGCCTTTTTGTTTGTAATCTAAAGCTGTTGCCTGGACAGATTCACAGTAGAGCGTTAAACTGGGTACACGTAGTTTAAAATTTGTGCATTAACAGAAGAACTTCATTGCATGACAATTGTACATGGTACAATGTATGGCAAAGTCTAACTTGCTGACTATTACAGGTCCCCAAAGCACCCTGCCTCTTGGCCGAGTTGTCTGGAGAGATCAGACATCAACACTAGACATGACTTCAGCAGTGGAGCTGGTCCAAGGGGCAGTCCACACAATGGAAGAGTAAGTTCCAATTCATCTTTTATGTGTGCCAGACTTAGATCTAGTTATGAATTGAGACTTACTTGGCTTAACCCTCTTCACCTGCCGAAAGCATAAGGCCTCAGTGAAGTGTCTCCATCAGTCACCAGTGATTTTCTTCACCTCTTGCTGTCGCACCTCATTACTGACATCCCTCTTCCAGGACCCATCTTCTTTCCCCCTTTGAGGGTTCCAGTCAGGGGCAGTTCTTACATTGTAATGGGTACAGACGGCTTCCTTATGATACTAATTAGCATGTTGCTATCATTTCCATTTCTTATGGTGACTTCCTGTAGTTAGTAACCTTTGGTTAATTTGTATCCCAGTCATCTCTGTGCTTCAGAAGTAAATGTTAGTTCAAATTGCTTGTGTCACATACCAGTATATGCTTGTGTGTTTTAACCATGTCCCAAAAGGAACAAAGTGAGCAGTGTCATGTAATTGATGGGTTTCATGTCCTTGTTCTTAGGAGTATAGCAGGCATGGACTTCAACAGTCAGTGCAACTTTGCAAAGAGTTGCCAACAGATGGTGGACATGAAACAGGCAGTCAAGGTGATATCAGTTGGCGAATCACGGGTAAGAACTGCATTGATGTTTTACTATAGGTTTGATCTTTTTTATAGTGTTGAAAATAATGTTAATAATAAAAATGCACATTCAAGAAAAATGTAGAATGGCACAGATATTTCACCCAGCTTCTAAGCTTTATATATTCATTACTGGTGTGTTTTTTCATGGTTTGCTATATTCATAAAAGATGTAGGAATATCCTGCCCTTGGTGCTGAAAAGTGTATTGTTAACAATTTGCTTACAAGAGACATTGTGTTGGTGCCACTTAAACCTGGTTACTACTTCAAATGAATCATACACTGTACACATTTCCTGATACAAAATTGTAAGCATGAAGCAGTCTTTTAAATTATCAAATTCTTTCTCTCTTACTTTTTGAAAACAGCTTTCCGTTGCACGTTGTCATTACATCACTAGTAAGAAAGCTTTAATCAACTGCCGCAATTAGATGTGCAAAGATTGGGTATAACAGGCCATTTGGTGTAATATACATTGTAGCTAGCTGCCGCCACTCTGCATGCCTGCAAAGCTGGTATGTTACAACAAAAGAAGGTTATACCGGCTATACAGATACAGATGCTGGTGTGTTATGCTGAAGGGCGGTTATACCGGCTATACAGATACAGAAGCTGGTGTGTTACGCCGAAGGGTGGTTTTACCGGCTCTACAGATACAGAAGCTGGTGTGTTATGCCGAAGGGCAACTATACAGATACAAATATATGTCAGTGCTAAGGAATGCGTTGTACAACATTTGAAACATGTTTTTCTTTTACCTAATAGGGAGTAGACACTCTACTAGCAGAGATTCAAAACATGATGGAGACAGCAGACAGTCTGTGGCCTCAGTACAAGGGTCAATCCCCAGAATTCCACGAGTTTCTCAAACACCTCAAGAATGTTGCTGTCCAGCAACAAATTCTGCCACTGGAAACACTTGTGAGGGAGCTGCCCAAAAAGTGGCTTGGAGATGGCACGTTGGTTTATGGAAAAGCACTAGAAGCCCTACACAATATGGTAAGTTGGAAGTTGTATCATGTTTTGTGTATATGCATGAAGACTTCTGCCTCTTGGCATCGTTGTTTTCAGTGTCAAACTTTGGTAAATCTTTGTCTCAATGTAAAACTTTTCACCCATTGAACACACAATTTTTTGCCTTTTGAATCATCAAGAAAAGATTTTCTTCTATTTGTTTTTCTGTAGATCCAGAAATGTAAATTAGAAAAAATGATAAAAAATCTTTGTTGCAGTACTTGTTTAAGATTAATTTATGTGGTGCACCCCAATTTTTTTTGGGCACCACTGTACTAATTCCCAAAATTGAATTTTGAGCCCTGTCATCATCATTTTTTTTCCTCTTACCTCCAGGGTAAGGTGTTTTACCTGCCTATGATGAAGGATCAGCCAGTCATCCTGGATGTGAAGTGGTTCATACAGACTATGAAGGAGTTGTCCTCATCCAAACTCTTGGCACCACTTGGACATAACTTGGACGGTTTCTCACCGGACATGCCTGTCATCCCTAAGAGTGCTTTGTCCTCCCTGTGGCATCTCACAGAAAACAAGGTAAGACTAAATCACTTTTGTTGCTTAGTGGATTGTGCATACTGTGTATTTGTGGCTTTTGTGGTAGTACTTGAGTATATGAGTTGAGTCTATCACAGAAATCGTGTTTGTGTTTTTATATTACTCTACCAGTCTGTTTTTTTTCTTTGCTTAAAACATTACGATCACTAAAACATCAAAATTGGTCAAACTATGCCCTTTTTATGTTTACAGAGTAGTCTTACTCCCTGAGCACGATGTCCCTTGCAGGACCTTGGCTCAGTAATTATATAAGATAAGATCCCTGGCAAAAATATGGTCAATCTCAAAATCAGGCAACCTTTCAGCGATTCACAAAATTAATTTTTGGCCAAAGCTTGTCAACAGCATGAAGCCTTCATTATGAGATAGAGTATGGGAGTTGGACATGCCAGTGAACTATCAATTGTAGGCAATATTTCACCAAGTCACTAACTCTCTGTTCTGTCCAGTTGCCACTCATGACTAGAGTACTGAGTGAACTGGGCATCAGCATCTCCCCGTACAACCCACCTGGAACTAGTGCTGATGCCAGCATTGGAGCCTTGATAACCTACGCCAACATTCCTGCAACACCTGCAGTGCCTTTGGTAAGAATGAATAGATACTAGATGCAGTTTATACATGTGTAGCACTAGAGATAGCAGAACTTCACAAAGACTGCCTCCCATGCAGCACATCCTTGTCTGCTTCTGAATCCAAGTCATACAAATGTAATCACTAGGCCAAAAGGTCCAGGACCCATCAGACTTGGTCAGTTAGGGACGTTTATACCTTGCTGTTACACATGGAATATATGCCATTGGAATGCAGTTTATACATGGAATACAATTATAACCAATCTCTTTGAAATTTTGAACTTTGAAACATGCTTTCAAGAAATGTCCAAAACTACATGTATCAAGACTCCATTCTACATGAAGAAACATAAATTTTAACATTTGTAGAAACTGTCTTTTCACGTTTCTAATCATGTTTGGTGGTTTACTTTTGTGCAAGAAGTGTGGGGATTAGAAACCTGTTTATTTTTATTTTCTTCTCCCATTTCTTGTTGCCAGGATGAGTTTTGGCCAGAGAAGGTTACCCCAGATGACCTGGAGATGCGTCAGCACTATCACATCCTGCCTGCCCCTCCCCCTGGACTCATGGCGTCCCTTCTGTCTGAGTTCGGTCAGCTGGGGGGGTTCTCCCTGGTCTGGCGGGAGGGGGTCATCCTCCGGAGGGGGGCGGTGGAGGTGCTCATCCAGATAGAGAAGAAAGGTATCTAAGCTGGTGTGTTAGGGTGGTTATACTGGCTATACAGATACAGAAGCTGGTGTGTTACTCCAAAGGGCAGTTATACCATACCATATACCATAACCATGGGCGGTTATACCATGTACAAATAACAGATACCGGCTGTACAGATACAGAACATTACTGATGAAAGGATGTCGGCTACTCTTACTTACTACCTGCTACATGTACTTAGTGAAAAATTGAACTGTTCTCTAACAATTACTGAAGGAAATTTTACTCACAGGAGTTTTAAACCGTATCTGTCAGTCTTTGTCAACTATCTGACACAAGTACTGTGTATAGATACATGATTTTTTCCCCAATATTTTGTGAGAGGAGTAAAGGAAGCAATCTACATCAGGCATGCCAACCTTCTCTCAAAGTTTAAAGGAAATACATTGATGTGGCATATATTTAAAGTTTTATCTATATTTAATCATACTATGTACTTACCTTGTTGCAGATGTAAAAGCCTGCATTCCAGTAATGGAAGCTGAGCAGGAGTTGGACCTGGACAAACCAAAGGCAGCTGCTGTGACTACTAAGGGTAAAACAATTACTTCAAAACTTATGCATAACTTTTTATATAACTAAAGACTTTTGTTGAATATCAACTGTGATGTGATAAGAATGTAGTGTAGATTTTTGGTTCCCAGTTCTTGACTTTTCTTGTATTTGCTGGTTTATTTTCAAGTTCAAACCAAAACATTGCTGAATTGTTTTCCATTTTTCAGAAGATGCTCAGAAGTATGTCTTGCTTAGCTTTGCACAGAAGGACCTTCGACGTGTGCAAAATATTGCTACAGAACTTTCTGTAAGTATGATGTCTCACAATTGGCTAATTAAGATGCATCCTTAAAAAGTTCAGGGGGGGGCACAAGCGAGTGAAGTTACTTTTGAAATAAAGGAACAGATAGTTAGGCAACGTTGCTAACCATGTCCTTGTTACAAGTTGAACAAAATGTAGAAAGATTTAAAGTGGTACCTTCACTGTAATCAGACCATTTACAACATTCAATTTCTAAAATTCCTCATCCAATCATCCGTGAATAGTTTCATCAGGTTGTAAGGCACTGAGTAACGGTTAGTAATGTCCTGTTGCAGTCAAAGGGCTATCTGGTGGCCATGGATGGCAACATGTCAGTAATGGACACTGTGAGCATGGCTGCTGTAGTCCTGATGTGCATCACCAACGATTACAAAGAGACTGGGCGGTGCAAAAGAGGTAAACAAAAAGACAACTTTTATCAACTCTTCTTTTCAGAATTGAGATTTGTTCGAAAAATGGGTATTAGACAGACATCATAATTTTCTGCACTAATTTTAATGTCTATCATCTTTCATGAATTAGATCTAGTGTCATGAATTAGATCTAGTGCAATCATGAAAGTTCATCTTTGTTGGTAGCTCCAACACTAAAAGTTCACACCTAGAGCTTTTGACCAGTCACTCTGGTCTTCCTCAATAGACTGACCGAGTGAGACTTGTCACATTGCTTCTTTGAAGTGTGAGGTAAACACTGGGTCAAAGATGTAGTGCAAAATAATGTATTGTTGAGCATCTTAGCTACATATAGCTTTGTATTGTTTATCTGACCGTGGTTATTGTATCAAAGTCACTTTGCTGTGATTATTTCAACAGTGGTTCAGCAGGCAGCAGAGCTAGGAGTTCCCCTGATCCCCATCAAGTTACAGACTGAGGTGGTCATGGATGACTGGCTGCAAGTGGCGAGCAACAAGGTTCTTATCAACATGACTCCCACTCAGGACTGGGGTTGGGCCGTGCAGACTCTGAAAAGCGAGCTGGGAAGTTTGGGGAAAAGGGTTTCCAAACCAAGAAACTTTGTGCAGCCAAGGAGAAGACTGAAGGATACGCAAGAGCTAGGTGAGAACAAGACGATAGAAATCTATCTTTCACAATTTGAATGTTATAATTTCATCTGAGGCTCGCTCGCTCACTCACTCACTCACTCACTCAGCCACCCACACACCCACTCACTCACTCAGCCACCCACTCACTCACTCACTCACTCACTCACTCACTCACTCACTCACTCACTCACTCACTCACTCACTCACTCACTCACTCACTCAGTGTCGTAGCCACAGGCCATAGGAGCAGCCTGTCATTCAACAGGTTATACTAAATAAATTTCTTGTTTGCCTTTTTCCCTCAGGAGGCCCTTACTTGACTGTAGCAGCCAGAACCTTCAAACCTGAGCCAGGAATGAACGTCAGTTGGGTTCAGCAGATCTATCACTCCTGTCTGACTGTTGTGGAGTATGTTCTCAGGACTCAGGGGCTCTCTGCAGTTGTAAGTAATCAGGCACATGGTTATCTAAAGATGTTTTTCTGTAATTCATTATTTGGCGTTTTAGTTATAGGAACATCTATTGTCACTTTCTTATATCCAATGCTACAAAGATTGATTATTTCTTTCTTGCCATCATTATGTTCTTGCTGCAAAAGGATTTCTATTTTTATCAATACCTTGTGAGCATATTCATGTCTCTCCATGGTACTGAAATGCCGGCTGTTATGACAGTATATGATTGTGCTGCCTTCCTTCACTTTCAAATGAATCTTTTAGATAAAACTGCTTGCAATACACAAGGTAATACTTCTACAGTCCGGGAATGTTTTGGGAAGAATATTCATTGTCTGTCCATGGTACTGATTTCCTGGCTGTAATGACAGTATATGATTGTGCCGACTTTTATTCACTTTAAAATAAATTCTTAATGAAAAGGTATGCAATACATGAGGTAGATACAGTTACTAGTGAATTCTTTCATCAGTGACAACTTTGGAAGGATAAGGATACTAACCTCCAAATTTTCGATGACTATCAGTCCATCTTGTTCACGGAGTGGCCTAATCTTGCAAGAGCGTGAGAGTAGGCCCGAGACTTGCATCGGTCTGCCGGGCCCCACCACCTGTTGCCTCCCTCCTCTTTATCCTTCCAAAGTTGTCACTGATGAAAGAATTCATTAGTAACTGTATCTATACGTGACAAATGAATCTCTTCAACGATATGATGTAGATAGGATTAGAAAGGCACCAGAGCAACTGTTGGCACAAGTAGACAAATTTTCTATATTGTATCAGGTGACAATTCCTTGCCCTACCTGTGTGGCGAAAGAGAAGCAGACAGTTCATGAGTTCCAGAGAGATGTGCTCACACCCGTAAAGCAGGTGGCATGTCCCAACTGTGGTCTTCAGAAAACTGCAGACATCTTGCATGGAGACTGTAAGTATGGATGAGGCAAACATGATTTTGTTTTTATAGATTGTGTCTGCCACATGTATAGAGACTCCAAATTGGATAAGAGATAAGAAAAACAGGAGAACCTGGAAAAATGCCTAAATCTTTGTGAACAAAGAGCTCAAATCACAAGGTATGGTTCATACTAGATGTACATGTATTATCCCAGCAAAGAAAGATAAACTAAAACTGGAAACTGATGCTAGGTGTTTGTTAGGGCCAAGTTATATATTTTAGAGTCATACATGATAGATATAGATAAAGACCGGCAGTTCTTTTGCTTCTGTTTTCAGCTGATATTAAAATAGGAATATCATTGAGACTGTGATAAAGTTGATGCAGATTCTTTTCTATTTCTAGATGCGCCATTCTTCCTGTCCAGCCACATGTGGCCAAGCAAGCCCTCTGAAGTTCCCAGGGTTCCAGGAGTTATAGAGGGAAACAAGGACCTGTGTGTGCACTGTGGTCTGACCAGGGAAGTGGCTGCTAAACTATGGGTATGTGTCAATACAAAAGAGTTCTTTCTGTTCAGAAAAACAAACCATCTCGCATATATACATGTAGATTGCCAAAATGTCAAGTCCTTTTGGAAGGGATTTATTACCTTGTTAGTTTTACATTTTGTATTATTTTTTATTCTATTCACATGGATTTATGAGCATTAGATAGCAAGCACTAAATGTGCTTATAAGATCCTTTGCTCAAGAACATAAAACATACAAAATACAGGTTGAAATAAAATGTGTAACGAACATAAAATGAAATACCTTTTATATTGTGATGTTGCTTGTAGCCATGTAGCCTAAAATCACACAAATTAAGCCAGACAGTTATCTGCAATGCCGTTTTAGAATGTACTATTTTCTCTCAATAAACCAATTATTATTCTTATTAATACCAGACACCAGCATTTTGATTTTAATTTGTCATGCTCTGTGATGCCATCAGCAAATGCAGAGCCTGATTACCCCAACCTTTGGCCACGAGTGTCAGCTGTACCCAACAAGAAGGCCTGGCCAACAGCTGTCAGAGAAGGAGAAACACGGATCCCTCTTTCATCCTGAAGGAAAGATGGAAGTCATCAGTGCACAGCCACTGGATCCGGAGGGGTTCAGGGACTTTGAGGTCATCCCAGCTGAAGGAAACAACTTGTACCTGAAGTTTGGAGTGAGAAGGTGAGTCTTAATACATGTATATCACTTATCGCTACAGCTCTGTGTTATACATAATGTAAATAATGTACTAGCAGAAAGTGCCATTTCATAATGTTTCAATTCAGATTTATACAATATTATGTAAGTTCCAAACATAGCACAGAGCTCCTAGGTTCCTTTGTTTGTGATATTCATTTTCAGTATTCTGTTCTTAATTATATAGTATTACATATTTGTAATTATCTGTATTCTGTTTTTATATAGTATAATTACATATTTGTAATTTATTTTCTTATTCTGTTTTATACATGTGCAAACAAACAAACAAACAAACAAATAAACAATATCTCATTGCAGTGCAAAGGGACAGGTCAGCATGACAATAAAAGGTTCAGAGGTCATCATAGCCACCCCTGATTCCCCCAATGGTACAACCCACCAGGTGGACTCACCAGCGGCCATATATGGGGTGAAAGTGGAGAATGCCGACCAATTTGACCCCTCAGAGGTTTGTAGATTAAACTTACAATTAAAAAAGCTACAGTCCATACATTGGGTTCATAAAATGTCTATGAAATATGTTACAACTTATATCAGGGTTTAAAATACTGCAACATTGAAAACTGCAGTTAGTGCAGGTAAAATTGTGGCAGTGCAGGTATTTCTTATGTCTACCTGCACCTAACCTGCACTGGTCCATATACTGGGTATATGCAGGTAGTGATGCATACCGGTTCACTGGACTTGGATCCGGACTTAAAAAATGTTTAGGTTCAAGTCCAAAAAAACCTAAAAGTCAAGAACCGAGTCCGGACTTATTACCATAAAAGACCATTTCACATACCCCTTTTCTTTCCAAACCACCTAAAACCATCCGTAGATTGCAAAATCGGTGGCGCAAAATGAAGAAAACATTGCCATCGGGCATCGTCAAGTACCGGCCTCCATGTTATGTGGCCAAAGTTTCACCCAGACAACATTGCACGGTTGCCAACATGCAATTTTGTATATGCCATGGGTTTAGGTCCGGACTTACAAGTCCGGACCTGAACCTAAACCTCTGGACTTAAATCCGGACCTGAACCTGAAATTGGGTTTAGGTATGCATCACTATATGCAGGTTAGTGCAGGTAAAATTGGAGCTGTGCAGGTGTTTCTGATGTCTACCTGCACCTAACCTGCACTGGTCCATGTACTTGGGTATATGCAGGTTAGTGCAGGTAAAATTGGAGCTGTGTAGGCGTTTCTGATGACAACCTGCACTGGTCCATGTACTGGGCTTACACACAAATGTACGTATACAATGAATTGTCATTAGCTGTATTGACTGCTACCACTTAATAGAAGTGTAAAAGAAATTATAATGGCAATGGACTGTAGACATTGCACCATCACACATCGGGGCTAGCCCCTACATGTGTATGTATATGCTTTTGAGAATGCTACACGATGTTTCTGCAATTTCAGGAGGAGAGCCCCCAACCTGACATACCTGATGAGCCAGCACCGGAAACTCTGTACGATGACTGGCAGGAAACCATGAGGCTGGAGTCGAAGGACAAGAAGAATCCGACCATGATCTGTGTCAGCACCGTCATGAAAGTCCAGCCTCCATCCGAAGAGAACAAGAAGTGCCAGGTTCTGATCCACTTTGATGGTTGGACGACCAGGTATGACTACTGGACAGACATTGATGACCCTGACCTTCATCCCCTTGGGTACTGCAAGGCCAGCGGGATCAGACTTGAAAAGCCTAAAGGTAAAATTTTTTTAAAACATAAACTAGAAACTTAAGATATGTGCAAAGGATATCTATCACCACAAGCGATATAATTATAGAGCCTCTTTCAGTCAATATTGACCAAAAATCCTATTTCTTAACAGCTTTAGAGCTTTGGCTATGGCTGAAAAGTCCTATACAAGTAAATTTATTTTAAGATATATATTGTAATTTTAAAGATGTGTTGCATACAATGTGTACATGATTGTATAGTATACCAACCAATATAGACATTTGATATGTCATTTTTGTATCTGTAGTGTATTGTGCGATCTGACTATCTAAGGCTCAGTGTTTTGGCCAAGTGACATGATCATACTAGTCTTTTTTGTTAGCATGAAAGTTCATCTGAGTTGGTAAATTACATTATGAAAAATTTAAACTGTTCTCCAACTCATAAATTTCACTCACCGGAATTTTCGACTGAATCACTCAGTCTTCCTCAGCTATCTGACCCAAATGCTGTGGACACGTGATTTTTTCCACGTGTGACGTCAGCAAAGGGTCAAAGGTTGTCTGAAGTCAATATCGCCCCCCGTTCCGGTTGAGTGACGGTTGATGAAGTGCCCTGATGTATATGGCCTCTTTTTCTTTCTCTTTTTGGCCTCTGATTCAGTCGAAAATTCCGGTGAGTGAAACTTATGAGTTGGAGAACAGTTTAAATTTTTCATAATAGTCTTTTTTGTTGTAACCTACACACTTGACTCTGTTACAGGTTATGGAAAACAGTTTGATTGGGAACAGTACTTGCAGGAGGAGAATGTAGACCCTGTGCCTTTTCACGTATTTAATGAGGTGAGAACTTACTCCATATTTCTGTCTAGTCTCCACCAGACAACTTTTGCAGGCTGAATGAATCGTAGAAACCGGCCTAAAAAGGGGATATAAGTGTCCTAGACCCTCTATGGCCGGGAAACTCCTCTGGCCAATTATATCCCCTTTTTAGGCCAATTTCTACGATTTATTCAGCCTGCAAAAGGAGTCTGGTGGAGACTAATTTCTGTCATTTTCACGGAATGTTGCTTCTCAAGACTGACAAAAATTTTGTCCGATCTGTCGTCTTTGACAGACAAAAATTGGTGTGTTAAGGTATGGAAAAAGATTTCATTAAACTAAACATACCAGTAACATTCTACCAGTGCCCCTCAAAATGCATAAATAACATTTCAGAGGGTCAAGACTTCAAACAACTTTTCACAGGGGAAGCTATTCCCATAGACTACCTTGGGCTCTCAACATAATAGTAAAAAGTTTAACCTTATTCCAACACAAGGTTTCACAAAGATAATTTTCAATGACCACTGTTGCCTCTACTCTCAACATATTGTTATTTATGTCAAAAGATGACAAAAAAAATTCAGCCTGGCTGGAACAATGAATCACTGTTAATTAATTTTAATTCCTTTTTTTGCCATTTACAGATGCAGAAAAAAGACAGCAAGCCATATTTGTATGATCCTGATGCAGGGCTGGTTACTTTTGATTCTGAGGAGGAACAACAGAAAGCTATGGGAAGATTTCTTGCATCCAATTCCCAACAAACAAGGAAATGCAAGGTGATCTTCAGTTGCTATTCATTGTTCTTTTTTTTAGGTATTTTTATCAAAATCAGCCTTTTCTAACTTGATATCACATACAGCAACTGTAAATATTTTCAGATAAGTGTCAGACATTGGGAACTTTTGATTTTTAATAGGAAAGACAAAAAACTTGATATTAGATATTTGCCTGTCTTGTTTTAAATTGACATTATAAATTTTCCCGGCCAAAGTCAGAGAATTTACAACAAATTCATATAAGGACTTTTGAATTATGTGAATGATGTCACATGACAAGAGTACTCCAAGACAAGATCTGACTTTAATGGGTTGATGAAGAGACAGAGTGCATCTCGAAAGCAATTTCCAGGGTACCAGACTCTTTTTGTGGTGTGTAATATTGGTTTTTAAACATTTTTCAGATGATTAAATGGTTTTCAAGATTGTTTGAATTTTTTTCAGGTGATCCTGACAAGAAATGGCCAGACCTTGACCTCCGTAGTTACTGAGGGCGACATCCGTGTGCTCCTGTCCTTTTCTGCATCTGGCGAGAGTTCAGGTCAATGGTTGAACAAAGAACCACAACTCATTCTGGCCAGCCAAACCATGCATGTGAGTAAATAATGGTCATACAGACTCATTTTCCTTTGGTTGTGTTTCGAGCATTGTCTGCACATCTGTTTTCCGCTGCTGGCATTGCTATACATGTATCTGTCACTCACTCACTCTCACAATCTCCCATGCATAGCCTAGTCAGTCATCGGGGCAGCATGCTGTTAGGTCTTCCACATGTATCTTTAGTTTCCCATAATTTGCAGGGAAAGCTATTCAATTTTACATGATTTCTATTGAGGTGGCCAAATGTTGGTTGATTAGTTTGTTAGGATCTCCATTAGTGTGCCAATTCACACTGTTTCTCTTGGTGATGATGTGAATCATCGTGTGGCTTCAGTTATATAAATATGAGATTGGGATTTGCCAGGCCTCTATCCGGGTGATTTTAAGTGAATCAGCTAGTCTACCGTCTTCCTGATTTACTGTAGATTATATAGCTGAATTTAGCATAAAGCATGGTCTGACACCTCCCTTACAACAAGTTCCCGACCAGCATGGTCTTTATGGCAAAGCTGCTTGACTAACACATTGGTGAAGGTTAGACATCCAGTTAATCAGATACACCAAAAAACAGTTACTCAAGCAACTAGATATGATTTTGAAAACGGCCAGACGTTTCAGTTACACGACTTTTGTACAGGTAGCGATTTCACTTACCTTTTGTCAGTGACACCAAGAGACTGCAGGAGAAAGGCAGGTTCATAAACACGAACTATTTCTTGACATGCAAAAACTACTTGACTAACAGTTTGTTTATCATCACCATAGCCGGGTGGCTCCGCCGCCTCTGTCCAGCACATGTTCTCCTCCGCACCGTTCCAAGTCGGGATGCGCTTGGAAGCTGACGATCCCCTCGGTAGCAGAGAAGCCAAGAACAGCCTGGTTTGTGTGGCAAACATAAAGGAAATGGAAACAGGTGGGTACAGTGTACAGAATGTATATTTTCATTGGAACTCAGTTCTGATTAGAGTTTGGTTTTATCAGCCATAAAAAAGGAACAAAAATTGTATGTTTCAATACAGAGCACGTGACAAATCTTGGCACATTGGCGACACAAAATAAATCTGTGTACTCATCAGTGTTTGGACACAGTATCAACAATTAAGTAGCTGAAAGGCCCAGTGGGCGTCACTCCACCATATAGGGAGGGAGGTGCCTTTCCCAATGACACAACATCGGGCATGTCCGGGGATCAAACCCGGGACCACTTGGTTCTGAGCCAAATGCTCTGACCATTACACCACATGATGCCTTAAAATAGACTGAGACAGTCTGACTCTATGATAATGGCAAAACTTTGTGAAAAGGGGTTTAATAGTACAAAATTTTGTGTAACGTTAAACCACATGCTTTGTATTTTATTTTCAAAAACTTTTTGATCCTTTTTCAACTTGCAGAGGCTGACGGGAGGCAGAAAGTCGAGGTCCATTTCGATGGCTGGACAAACAAGTACAATTACTGGTGCTATACAGACGACCCTAAGCTCCATCCTATAGGTTACTGTGCATTCAAGGGCATCAACCTTCAAAAACCCAAGGGTACAACATTTTCCTTTCCTGAACTTTACTTTTAACAGTCATAGATATGAAAACTTAAATAGAATTGTGTTACCATAATTGTATCCTATTGTTTGAAATGTGAATCTGAATTCAGTATCATCCCTAAACATATGTCAGATTCTATTTTACTTAGTTCAAGGAGGTTCAAATCTTTTGAACCTCCTTGCTTAGTTGTACTTGTTGAGATGAAGCAAATCTTTGTCACAAGGTTGATGAATATGAAGTGTGACCCATCTACATAATGTAGTGCAATAAGGTTTGAATCATTAATTCTGTGTACATGTAGGTTACTCAGGAACATTTGAATGGAGCAAGTATCTGGATGACATTGACAAAGAAGCAGTGTCCTACCAGAGATTTAATGTAAGTGCTAGATTGGAATATACATTACTTTGAAAGATGTGAATGCTTTGTGATGATGCATGACATTATGTTTTCTTGTGTAAGACATTTGCTACATGTACAAATGAATAAGGCTTGTGCCCTACATCTGAGAATAGTTTCATCAGGTTGGTAAGTAAATGAATAAAGAGATTGTTTTCACACAATCAAGAGGTTTATTCAGCCGACGTTTAAAGTGACACCTGTGCTGTACAATCTGAACCTGTCAGATTTGGCCTTAGAGGAAGATGACAGACGGTCACCGATACTTCAGCTGAACAAACTGCTTGGTTGTGTAAAAAGAGTCTTTATTCATGTGGCCTACATGACTTGCGTGCTTCTTAGACTTATGCTTTACACTACAATGCTGTCATGTTGAGGAGTTTTGGTACTGCGAAGACTAAGTACTGGAAAGAACAATTTTCGAACTTACACTGTAAATCTCTGGTTAGAAATGAGCATGAATATAATTGCAGAGGGATCAAACCAAGGGCTGTCCCCCATATGGAATGGGTGCAGCAGGCAAGTTGGGTTCCAAGGCAAACGCAACATCTTCCAGAGTCATCGCATGCAGGGATTATGGACGACTGGTACCTCAAAGTAAGTTCTCAAATTCAATCAGAAAGGTAATGAAGGAATCAAGTTCTATATGGTAAGCTACAAAATGTACAGTACCAAAGATATATCAATTGAATGCCAGTTTTTGGTAACTGTGAAATAAGTATATGCCAGAGATTCAGAGGTTTGATTGACAAATAATTATGAAATAATAATATTTTAGTCAATATTACCAAATTTCCAAGAATTTGCAAGTCATAGCTAAAATACAAAAGCTTCCTTGTTAAGATTTTACAATCATGATACATGTATTAGGTATTATTTATTACTTATATAGTATATATAATTAAAATTTCACCCCTGTGATACATTGTACTGTCATGTAATTCCTTGTAAATATGTTCACCAATATGTGCAGCTTCTGACGTCTGCAAGTTTGTTGAAGCCTACCAGTCGAAGATCCTGTCCCCACGCCTGCTCCCAGAGAATCCAACGTTTGCCGTCCTCCTGCCTGAACAGCTGGACCTGCCACTGCTGCTGTACCCCAGCCGCAGGGCGGTACAGGGCAGCCGGGGGCAGGCGCTGCATGTGCTGTGTCCTGGGGAACGTAAGTTGGGATGAACATATTGCTGAGTGATTGTGTTATTTTTATATTATATAGTAAAGAGTGCACGTAACATGAGTTCTGAATGCACAATATAACTTCCTCCTAAGGGATTTTCATCACTATCAAAAAATTATTGCTGCTTTCATCACTGACAAAAAATAATTGCTGCTACTCAAAAAATCTGGCAGTTTTCAAAATCTATCCATGATTATTATCTTGATTGGACCAATATGGCAAGGTTTGCCTAGAAGCATTGATGAGGGACCTAGAGAACACCAGCAATAAGATGCAGAAATTCAGTCTCTGATGAAAAGTAGTGGAATCTACTTGAAAAATCTGACAGCTTTCAAAATGAGTATCTGGTTTTTCTTGAGTAACAATTCCTTGAATGTGTAAGTAGGGATGGTTCCATCCTCTTGAACATGCCACTACCAATGAGTGATTGTGTAGTGAATAGCTATATGTATGGGCACTGAACTATGTGGCCATGAAATTGTAATCTTCAGAGCACTACCATCATCTCATGGGGCGGACGGATGCCTACTCCAACCGCAGGCATGCCTACTACAACCAAACTAACAATGCAATGATGTGCCTACCGTTTTGTAAGTGGTGACTCGACAAGTTTAATATTATAATACTATTCAAACTCAATCATACTGTAGGCACAATGTAGATTTAGAAATATCATGAGTTGAATATGCAAGAACTGCATCATCCAAAACAGCAAAATGCAAGTTTTGGATTAGGATTTTGGACAACTGCCTTTCTTCACCAACGCACCTAGTTGCCACTACAAAGTCAGATCTAACAAGAATTTGATCCAGATCTATTTTCATCTTTCAAATTCTAGAAAAAAAACACAGAAAAGCCTCACAACATTGACAAAATGAAAGAGCCTCTTATACTTCTTATTAAATGTATTTAGCAGGTCAGACTCACCAAAATACATGTACAAGTCTTACACTTTTTCTCAGTTGTTGCCATTTTCTTTCATCAGTGCAATACCAGAACATCCATCTGGTTGGAACAGCTAATGCTGTCACTCTTGGCCAGCAATCTGACAAAGTCCAGGGAATGCTGTCCAAGCTCCTGCTATTCTGTCACAGCCTCATCACCTGCAGAAAGGTAATGTTCATGGAAACGTTGCTGCAATTTTTGTCTTGATTTAAAGTTACTGAGAAGGTAGATGTAAACACAGAGTCTGCTAATTCCTTTGTGACTCTGTTTTGCTCCAAAAAAGGGTTGCTTACATCACAGGCAGATCATGATCAGTTAGAAATTTCATCCATTTCACAACAGTAGTAGACATTAGGTTTTGATTATTTTGTGAGGACTTCAAGTAACCCAAAGACCAGCCCTATATACAATTGTGTACTTCATTAAATTTCTGCTGCCTATTTCAGGTTTTCCTTCCACCAGATCTGGCAGCTCTAGTGAAGGAGGATGTTACAGAAGACTTGGTAAGACATCATCAAGTTAAAGCATCATGATTCATGTTGAACTACGTAATGTTGTACATGTACATGTATCTAGATGTCTAACCTTCGCCAGCATAGCCAAAGGATACTTTTTCTTCAATGTTATCAGTTGGAAGTTCCTATCCTCTATTCAAGTTATAAAATTAAAAGAGGCTAATTTGGAGTAAGAGAATATTCTTCTTCCCTCTCATCCACAGGTGGTGTGTGCCCTAGCACGACTCCTGTCCATGTATGCATCAGCCAGTCTTCTGTTATCTTATCTGCATGGATATGACATCACTCAAATCGCAGCAAACATGGACAAGTGGTTACCACAGGTAACATCTTACATTTTTCTGATATCAATTTCTTTATATGAAAATAACAAATTTTATTGCAAATGCATGCATGCGAGGGCTAATTGCAAGCACAAACAACATGTATAGATAAATAAAATACAATGATATAAGAGACGTTCATGGTACTAGTTTTGTTGACTTCTTCTTTTGAGGCAGTGGAAGACAAATTTACCCACTTTTTTATGACATATGATATGGGTTCTTTGATTAGAATTGTTTTTTTGTGGTACTAGTAAAACTTCCATAATTGTTGCCTATTGTAGGAAATGTCAGTCATCAAAGACACAGTTCTACCGGGCAAATCTGTGAGTGGAACGAACGGCCAGTGGCTATGCCCTGGTCACCAGTCATCCTGGCATGTGAACGACAACTCTCTTCAGACCTTCCCACTCCAGGAGTTTGCCTCTTATGCTGGTACCATCAGCACCCTGACCTTCGAAGCCAACGGGATACAATCCCTCCCCGACAACTTCTTCGCAGAATTTCGGTCCCTCCGCCAAGCAAACCTGTCATCCAACCAGCTCCAAAGCCTCCCGCTTGGCATCGGAATCTGCGAGAACTTGGAGTCCTTCTCGGTTAATTACAACTCGATTGCAAAGCTGCCAGCAGACTTCCACGACTGTGGGAAGTCGCTGCTGGTGCTAAAGATCAGCGGAAACCCCATGGATAGCCTCCCGTCCCCCCTGGCTAGCTTTGGACGGTTGGAGGAGCTTCAGGCATCAAGCATGCAGCTGAGAAAGCTGCCTGATGACATCAAAGGGCTGCAGAAGCTGAAGACATTGAACCTGTCTTCGAATCCGCTCACGGACCTGCCGGCTTCCTTCTGTGAACTGAAGTCACTGACACATCTGGACATTTCTGGTGAGTTTGGCAAAGAATTCTACCTAATCTTATTGTCATGTACTCATGTTATGTTAGGAAAGATTATGTCAGTCTTGTTAATTCTGTGGTAAGCAAATAATTGCGAGCTGAAGTCACAGACACATCTGGATATTTCTGGTGAGTTTGCACAACTCCACCAAATGTTAATGATATGTAATGTCATAGTCTTATTAATTCTCTGGTAAACAAATAATTCGCAAAATTTGGAAAGAGCTCAGCAGGCAGCTGTCAGTGATATCTTAATTTCTGTACTTTCAGGTTTTCTTAGACAAGAAAGATGGTCATTGAATGCGATATCATTGTTCTTCTCTGTTTCTGAAGGTGTCCCATGGATCGAGCAGGAACAGGGGAAGGCAACTTTGCTGTCTTACGAAGCCTTTCTAAACTTCACGAGGAGGCATGGCATATTTTCCACTGTTTCAGAAAAGGTGGGTCCCTGCAGTGTGACAGTTACTGTGAAGAAATTTGTGTTACAATTCTGAATGTAATAGATGTTTCTTTTAAAAAATACAGTAGTGACATGTATTTTTTAAAGAGCTCATAACTAAGAGAAGTTGCTCTTACTAATCTTACAAAAATTTGAACATTGCTCTTATGCGATTGTCGATTATTAAATCCTTAGGACCCGTGGGAATTATTGATGTGATTATAGGTGTTCTCATACATGTATGTGATTGTCAAATCTTTAGGACTTGAGAGATGTCTTCACATCCTGTGACAATGACAAGAACGGTCTCCTGGATGAGGGGGAGGTCCCAAAGCTGAACGCACAACTCTTCATCATGTTCCCCAGGTTTGGGACAGACAGCACAACTGCAGGTAACTGCAATGAGACTTGTATGGCCTCCTATGGTATTGAGTACTGTATTCAGTATTGACTGTTATGGTAATATCCTAATTGTTAATGGGATTACTGAACTACTAATGTAATTCATATTTAAAATTATTCAAGCTTTGGATCCAACACATATTCTCACCTAGAGACTCGCCAGTCACTCTGGTCTTCATCAATAGTGACCCAGTGAGACTTGTGCACGTGGCTACTCTGAAGCCTCACTGAGTCAGTCAACTTAAGAAGACTAGAGTGACTGGTTGAAAGTTCTAGGTGAAAACCATTCTTTGTGTTGAATCCTTTTCAACTTTAAACATGTAACTAACAACAGAGATGAACTTAAATGAGTCTAATTCAAGTTTCTTTAACCATTATCTTAGACGATGACCTGGGCGGCATCCCGGGGCAGGTCTTTGCCCTGGAGAGTTTGGAGGAGCTGCACATGTGGTACCAGGCTCTGCGCAGGGTTCCGGCCGAGGTGAAGCAGCTGAAGAAGCTGAAACAGCTCAGCCTGCAGCACAACCCCAAACTGGAGACACTGGCAGCAGAGTTAGGAGGACTGCAATTGAAGGGTAGATATACACAGCTGTTCATATTGTACTGTTCATTACTATCTATTAAGTAAAATGTCATCATCATCATTATCATTGCTGCTCTCATCTTTTGAAGAATGGGGTTCACCACTGCTTTCCACTCTCTTCTGTCCAATGCTTGCCTCAGGTAAAACATAATAATATGATAAAATATAGCACACTATCAGTGCTGTAATGTTTTTAAAATGTTACAAATATAGTACTAGCTAGAATGCTATAATTGGACTCAGTTATTGCCATTAAGTGTAATACCACTGCGACAGTAAACAGTACACCAATATTGATAGTTTTGGGCATGGGACGTTTCAGAATATCAGGATGTACATCAATATCAAGAAATATGTATCGGTTGGATTCTTAGATTTCAAGTTTAGCAGTCCTTTAAATTTGTATTTCCCTTTGGTCAGGAGATGTTTGAATGTATTGACTTCTTCCCCTACAGGAATGCAGATCTCCAACTGCCCAACTCTCAGAACCCCTCCCAGGGAGATAGTTGCCAGAGGCTTCTCTGCTGTCATGGCCTACCTGTCCAGGCTGTTGTCTGGGTCCGTGGAGTGTAAGAGGACAAAACTCATGTTTGTAGGCCTGGGAGGAGCTGGTAAAACAAGGTAGGACCTAGTAACTGTTATAACTTTTGTTGAACCCTAGAGAATTGTTCTCACCAAGAGCTTTTGCATAGTCACTCTGGTCTTCCTCGTCTCACTGACTGACCCACTTGTCACGTGGCTTTTCTGAAGTGTGACATCAACTGGGTAAGTCTGGTGATGAAGAACAAGAGTGATTGGTCAAAAGCTCTACGTAGGTGCATGACAACAATTCTCTTGTGTTGAACCAAAAGTTTTAAATCTAGACATGTAAGTACTGACACAGATGAACTTTGATGATATACATGTCAGTATGAAATAGGTTAAGAGATCTTTAAAAATTATCGTTTGAAGAAATAATTTATTAATGTTGATTGCATGTAATAAAAACACTATTCAGCAGTTAACATTGTCCCCTAAATTTTTCCTTTATCCCAGTCTGATGCGGGCATTGATGAGTGGAAACTTCGTTACCCCGGCAACTGTCGGAGAGGCCATCACCGATGGTATCGACATCAAGACCTGGGAGATTAAGCAGGGCAGGTCCAAGCTGTCCTTCAGTGTGTGGGACTTTGCTGGGCAGACTGTGTACTACAACACTCACCAGGTAAATCAATGCCTTAAGTCTGCAAAGTCCCTGCTCATGTCTATGTCACTAGACATAATGCGGTTGTTGAATTTATTACAGATTACACTCGCATGTTATAACACTTCTGGCAACCCTTTGGCTGCATTGGGGAGCTCAACATTAAAATACTTGTCTGAATAACAGTAGAATTTTTAAATGTACCAGATCATAACATTATATCATAACATTATATTTTAAGATAGAGATATAGTAGCCGCCAAATTGACTACCCCCCCCCCACACACACACAGGGCCAAGTCACATGACCGCTAGCTTAAAAACTCAGACATATTGCTTCTTGAATACCACCTTATATGTAGCATTTACATAACACAAGTTCACACAAAGCTGGTAAAATATTGAATTACATTCAAAAAGTAATTGCTAACTGACGGAACTTGTCTCCTGCCCTGCCAGTTCTTCCTGTCCAACCGTGCCGTGTACATGTTGATCTGGAACACACGTCTCGGCCACGAGCACGCCGGCCTGGACTTCTGGCTCAGCTCTATCGAGTGCCACGCTCCCAAGGCTCCCATCTTTGTCATCGGAACCCACGCTGACCAGGTGAGGGTTTTATCAAATGATGCTGGGTTTATAATAGGCGTTAAACAGATATTGGAGGAATTATGAAAAGCATTGTCCTTGGTGCTGAAGTCTTGGTGTTGTTGTTGTTGAAGGTAAATGTCATGATTGTAGACACTCTGAGCCAGGAGAATCACTGGCAGAGATCCTGATTGTAGTTTGTGCTCAGCCTGACAGAAATCTACCAATAGAATTGCTGATTCTACAGGCAGGGATCCAAACAAGAGTTTCTTTTGACGGAGACTCCAATTGGAATTTCTACCAGAAGAATTGCCATTTCTACAAGATTGTAGTCTCTACACTGACACTGACACTACACTCTACACTGACATACACATGTACTATCCTCTATACAGGCATGAAATCACCATAGAAAAGGTGAGTTGATGGTTGTGAGTCCACCCAGTTCTAATCAGGTTCTGATTTTCCACCTCAGGTGACCAAGTCTGAGTTGCCTATGGAGGAGCTGAGCCGCAGGTATCAGCAGATCAAGGGCTACTTCTGTGTGAGCTCACATACTGGGCAGGTGAGTGTGGCTAAAGCTTTTACATTAGTCAACTTCTGTCACCATGATGTTGTAATGGTTACTTTTCAAAGTGTCAGGAAGGCTATATGGAATGGAGGGCCTTGGTATAAATTATGGCACCAGAAATTTCAAATTTGCTTTGTAAGATTAAAGGCAGTCACAATATCTGCATTCAGCTTTCTTACCTACCACACTGATGGCAAATGGAAATTGAATAAAGAATGATATGCAATGTAGTAATAGTAGTCCTGCAGCCTTGTTAGTAGACAAGTACCATCCAATGCAGCCTCTATATGCGTGCTATTTCTGCTACTAGTATGTATAAAACAGTACAGTATTCAAAAATTCTGATGTTACTTGACAGCTAAGATATATGAACAGAAATGACAAAGTCTCCCAGCATGTTTCTTCTTTAGACTTGTTTCTTTATTCATTTTGTTTGTTATCACTAGGGTGTGAAAGAACTGCATGACAAGCTGATCTCAGTGACCCTGGATGAACCCTACATGGGGGAGAGGATCCCGCAAGTCTGGCTTAGCTTTGAGCAGTCGGTTATCAAGTAAGTCTTTATTGTCTATATTTCAATATCATTTAGCCCAAACTGGCTAGTTTTACATGGCTCACACAAAAATGCAAACATACTTTTAACAGATAACATAGTAAAAGAATACACATATGGCACAAAATGAAGTTTATATTATATACAAACAAAAGGAACATAATGTATGAACTAATCACAGAGTTCACATTGTTTGAACAGACAAGGTTGACTTTATTTATTTTTGCTTCAGTTGTTTCTTAGTACAGAGGATGGTTTTCTGAATACTGATGCTAAAGAACTGCTGTCTTACAATTTACATGTATGTTGGAAAAATTTTCATGCCATCAAATATTGGATTTTGCTCCCTCCATCTGCAGGGACCGGAAACAGCAGAGTGTGCTTCCCTGGGAGGTGGTGGCCAAACACGCCAGTGGTGCCGGCATTTTTGACAGGAGTGAGGTATGTCATCATCATGTATAGGGAAAGTCCTCTGTTATGCTTAGGGCACAATTACATGTACACCAGTGCCCATACGGGGCATAGCCTGTGTGAGCCCCAGCTGAACTCAGAAGTAGGTCCGACACTGAATGTTGTGGTCATAATCAAGATCCTGTTTTCTTTCATTAAAGTTCAGTAGTCCTAAACCCCCATTGTTAACATCTGTGTCCATAATATCACCAGGGTCCATAATATCACCACCTTGAGAAATAGTGTGCTTCAAGATATTTTTACTGCAACATACTTTTTGTATGCACTCCTGCACACCTCAATTGTACATACCTAGGGTATGTTGCAGTACAAATATCTTTAAGCACACCTTTTCTTAAGGTGGCGATATTATGGACCATGGTGATATTATGGACACAGATGTTACTACCCTGAGGGCTCTTAAGGTGTTCCGGTGGGCACCTGTGAAGTGTCCTGCTGTGCAGATGATCAGTGATGCAAAGAAATTGGCCCGGTGGACTGCAGGACACTGGGAGGGGTACTATCAGTATTTCAAGCACATTAAACATCCTACCACAAAAAGATTAGGGGTCCATTGTAGTGTTAGTGGTTCAAACCTTACAGTCCTTTGTTTGTCTGTTACTTTGAATGTTGTTTTTTTCTGTACAGCTGAACCAGGCCGTGCAGTTTCTCCATGACCTCGGCACCCTGCAGCACTTTGACAATGAGTACCTGAAGGACAGGGTCGTCATCAACCCACAGTGGATCGTGGACGTCATGGCCTGTGTTGTGTCTGTCCACACTACTGCTATCAAGGTACAGAGTACTTGTGTACCCTGTTAGCTGATACAATATTTGTTAAGAGCCCGGCAGTAGCACTCAGGCCATGGTGGCCTGCCTTGACTATTAGGCTGTATTATGTATCACCTGAGGCACGAGGTGATGCAAGTACGATGGTTAGAGTGTTCAGCTCTAGCAATAGATTCCAGGTTCGCTCCATGTTGTGCCCTTGGGAAAGGCGCTTTACACGACTTTCCCCCTATACAGTGGAGTGATGTCCACCAGGCTAATCATCGAAACACTGTCCAGTGTCTAAACACTGATGAGGACACAAATGGATTTGGTGTCACCAATGTGCCAAGATTTGCACATTTGCCACCAACATCCATACAATTTTTTGCCTCTCTTTTCCAGGAGGGTCGGTTTGATCACAAAGACGTGTCGCTGGTGTGGAAGGATTATCCTGTGGACCTGCACAACTGGCTCCTGTGGCTGACAGAGGAGTTTGATCTGACCTTCCCCCTTTTCCCTTTTCCAGGAGGGCCGTATATAGTGGAGCGGATTCATTCCTCAAGCTAACCGACATCTCGCACACACAGCTATCCCTCAGTTAGACACCTGGAGCCGCATAGTTCCTGTCTAGAACTTTTATTCAGCCTGTCACATGACCAGTTTTGCCTGTGTGGTTTCTTCAAGTGTACATAGGCTCAAGTTCACAATTTCAAGTTCTGACTTTATACCTATCCAGGAGGGTCGGTTTGATCACAAAGACGTGTCGCTGGTGTGGAAGGATTATCCTGTGGACCTGCACAACTGGCTCCTGCGGCTGACAGAGGAGTTTGATCTCACCTTCCCCCTCCCTGATCAGCCGGTGAACGTGGTGCCCTGCCTGCTGCCAGACAAGGAGGCTCAGGTGCAGCAGTGTGTGCAAGATGGAAATGTAGTTGTAGAGTTTAAGCTTTGTTCCAACACCAGAAATGAACTTGCTAATAAATTTTTGGCAACCACTACTCCTAGAACAATTTATAAAATTCCGGAAGTCTCCCAAGATTTTTTCAAAAGCTCACGCATTGTCAAGTAAAATTTGCTGGCCATTGCTGTCTAGCCAAGCAAAAAAAAGTATCATCTATCCCTCTGGACCTACTCTCAGGCACAGCATGTGCAGCAGTTTTTTCTGTGCAACACCAGTCTTTATCAATAAGCTCGAGCATTAGGCTATTAGTGTTTTCTTATGTGTAAACATTTTTGAAGACAATTACAACTAGATATACAACTTGTATCTTGGCTATACATTAAGTCAACTTCAAACTTTTTCTTCTCTGTTGCAGTATGAGTGGCCGGAAGTGGAGCCACCCTGCCACGAGACCAAGATGTTGTACAGGTTTGACTATCTGCCTGCTGGGCTCTTCAACAGGGCTCAGGTCAGTAACAATGGGCGCAATGACAATATAAGTCAACTAGGAAATAAAAACTGGATTGGTCATTTGCTGCTTTTGACCATGTGGAGAACAGTAACTGCTGTTACTATTATTATAGTGATTTCTGTATAGATGTTGGCTTCCTTCAGTCAATGTTGACCATCATGGTAAACCCTACATTGTATCAGCTCTACAGCCTATGGCTGAAGAGTCCCTTGGAAGAATGACAGTCTCTGCCACATACATGTACAAAATGTAGGGCACATCTGTAAGCTGACTCAGGACTGTTGCAGTGTTTTTCTCTGTAGGTCTGCTTCTCTTCCATGCAGCGCATCAGTCTAGCTTGTTCCTGATTTCAGTTGGTCTTTTAGATGTTACAGATGTGGTATACACACACATGTAGATCTGTTGGCACTCACAGTTGTTTTCATGCAATCTGAAAACTGGAATCCACCCCTGCAGGTGCGCCTGTGCCAGTACTCAGACAGCTCAGCAGTGTGGAAACGAGGCTCCCTCCTCAGGAAGAACAAACATCTGGCTCTCATCCAGCAGACAAAGTAATATGTTTCACTTGGCATCATTTGGTTTCTTAGTTTTTAGTCATTTTTCTCAGTTGTGATTTTTGTTATCGAGCAGACAAAAACCCATGTTGGCTCAAGGTTCAAGGATATTTGATTGTTGCTCTATTACAAAGATGGCAAAAAAATGAATATATTTTGATGTTTTTTTGTCGATAGGTAATGACTTAAAAGGTTGTTTTGAAGCTGTGACAGACTTGGTATAGCAGAAATCTTGTCAGGGATTCTACAAAATTTTTTAGTGTTGTCCCAAAACAATGTTGCTTGAGTGGAATAACATGTGATTTCACATGCTTAATCCCACACTGGCAGCCCACAGGCATTGATGTGTTCTTACGTACATACATAAGGAAATATAACTACAAGTTGTACAATGCTATTATCTAAAACTATAACCAACACATTCAATTGTTATCACAATTTCCCAGGGGTTCTGAGCTGCTGGTGAAAGTCCAGGGGCCTCGGCCGGAGAACATCCTGTTCCTGGTGCATGAGGTGTTTGAGGCTCTGATCGCTGAGAGCTTCCACGGTGTGCAGTACGACTTCCTCATCCCCTGCCCTGACTGCATCAAAGTGGTCAGTACTAAAAAAAATTCTGGTAGTTCTTCAATGGCACTTTGGTGCTTTGCTATGTTGAATTTCATAGAAAATTCAATCAAGAAAAGATAACAGATACATCATTATATGGCATGGCATGGGATTGAATGATGAAACTGCAAAATGTGAATCAGTAATAAAGATCCTGCACACACTCTTCTGAATCATTTCATATTTCTCTGACATGTAAAGAAAGATTAAATCTTAACACTGGTACCAGATGTTTTTTTACCTTCTATGCTTATTTTTTACCGCTCTGGCTTATTCTTTACTATTAGCAACACAGCTTGGCTTGGCAACAAATCCAATCTGTGGCTCTAGAGCAATATGATTTTTTTTTTAAACCGAATTTAACATCATTTTTCCTGACCGGGTATTGATTGATAACATCTAATCAGTTGTAAAAACTGTAACATCATTTCTACTGCAGGGTTCCCTGGATCCCTACATGTTTGCAGCCTCTCTGGTGAGGAAGGCAGTTGAGCTGAAGGCACCCTTCCTGCAGTGTGGCACGTACTTCCACATTGTGTCCATCACTGAGCTGCAAGGTACATTATGAATATTTTCACTTGTCTCATGCAGTGCTACTTTGTTAGTGTGTAAATGTACAAAAGTCATGCAGACAAGTGTTCCACTGTTCACTGTTCTTGTGCATACATGTAGCGTCTGTCTTCTCTGTCATGACCAGAGAAAGAATAGCTTGACCAGGGGAAGAGTAGGTTCTCAGTGAGCTAAAACTGGCTTAAGATCACTTTCTTTCCTTTAATTGTTAAACAAGTTGTAATCTGTTAAGAACTTTACCTTTCAATCATTTGCAAAGCAAATATCATACAAAATGTATGTTTTCCGCTCAAATATCTCACAGCATGCAACTACATGTAGAAGCACTGGCTAACAGCAGTTTATCCTGTCCTTGGTGCTGAAATGTTGGAGGAGCTAATGTACATGTATGTTATCTGTCATTTTCCAGCCATCATGCCCCCAATGTCAGGAACAGACTTCCAAATAGGCTTGTCTAACAAGTGCTCTTGTTAAACAAGTGATCATCATAGTGAATTAAGAACTTTGCCATTCAATCATTTCCTAAGATTATCCATTGTTTTGCAGCCATCATGCCGCCGACATCAGGTACAGACTTCCACATGCATCTGGAGAACGCGGTGAGAGATCTGCAGAACCTCCACGTCACCCTGTCCACCGACGTCTTCATCACATTCTGTCAGGACAACGTGCCCAAAGACTACAACGACCCTCGGGCGGTTCACCCGGCCAGGATCAGGGACGACATACAGGCTGCTGGATACACATGGTGGGGAGAGGGGCACATAGGGGTGTCTTAGAATCAATTTTATTTTGAAATTTCATCAGGCTTTCTTCTTGTTTGTACCTCACTGTCAAGGGACAAAAATAATTCATAAGTTTGATGACAAATAACTAATGCTTGATGAAGCATCAGGTACAAATGGTTTAGGTAGGACCTGTACCTGAGCAATTTCTGAACTTCCTCAATAGCAATAGAAATCTGTAATCAAAATTATGTTGTAGTCAGATTTGCAGTTCTTTATTCACAACCACTGTTTATCAAGAGCTGACATTTCAACAAGATGGCCATCGGAATGCCAGCTCTTGTTAAACAAGTGGTTCTGCATAAGAATTTTTGACATCGTCTTAGAAATTGTCTCATTTTGAGATTGTTATTTTACGTAACTTACGCACCATTTTCAGCTGGTATCAAGAGGACCAGAATGACTTGGATGTCCAGGACTTGGCAGTTGCAATGAAGGATGCACAGGTACAACATCAATATAGTATCAGGTTCATGGATGATCACCTCATCTGTATCTGTAACTGTATAGCTGGTATAACTGCCCTTTGGCATAACACACCAGCTATATTACATCAAATGATGACTCTTGTTATCCAACAGACATCAACATTATTACTAGAATTGTATATTCCAGGTCAAACAACTTTTGGTAATTGAAAAAGTGTTGCTCTCCGGTGTTTTGGTGCTCCACCAAGTTTTCAGCACCAAGGACAGGTCTTTAGCCTGTGCTTATATTTGTATGCTGTGAGCTGTTTTCTTTTCAATACTACACAAAATACAACCTTCTTTGAAGCATACCACGCAGATAGATAAAGTTCATTCTTTAGAATGAAAATGAATTACCAAATGTCATGCAGGACTGTAGCCAACCGGTACTGAAATGTTTGTAGTCACATGCCACAGCTCATGTGACTTATTCTTACATGTACATGTACTATAAAAGATAGCTCATTTGTGTTGGTAAACTACATAATGGCAAAGGTACACTTTGATCTTTGACACCATAAAGTTTCGGTCAAACTCGTCAACATTCCTTAGATGTATGATCCACACTCTCTCTCCTGAGTTAGCAAGTGAATCATTTGTCTGACAAAGGTTGGCGAGTTTGAACAAACATTTATGGTGAGTTCCCCTTTGGTATGTTGTATCAAAATTTAACTTTACAATTGCTTACATGTTCTTGTCCAATACTGTTGAACAGGTGACAGTTGTGTTGATGTCTGATGAGTACGAAGGGTCAGAATCCTGCCGTGCTATCATCCACTACGTCCGCTCCACCCTTAGGAAGCCGGTTATTCTGATTGTGGTCGGCAAGGGATGGAACTGGCAGAAAACGGACACTGGGCTCCTGCTGGCTCACATGGTACATCTCTTTACATTTTCATTTCCAATCTAATATTGTATACCTTGTGAATTATTATTTCATATTGTTACTTATTGTCCAGCTATGAGGTCTAGCGCTTTATAATATCTTCAGGCTAGTTGGGCATTCCTGGCTGAATATCTCTTTATACATTTTAATAAATCAAATCAAATACCTTGAATATCCCTCAGTGTTACATGTAGGTGACCTCGCACAGCTTGACTACTGCCTGTACAGAAAGAGGTGGAGAAATAGCATCAAAGACTGCCAGGCGTACAACTCGTCCAATCCTATAGGCAGTGACCACAGGATCATTTCCACTAAGATACGCCTCAGTGTTCGTGTCCCCAAAAATACCCGTCGTAAAAAGCTGAATTGGCAAGCAGTAAGAAAGGATGTATCTTTGGCAAACGAAATTGACACCTCCATCTCCCAGAAGCTTGACGAACTCCCAGAAAACAAAAGATCATACAGCGAGTTTGTGAGAATCTGTAATGCAGTCGGGTCTCAACAGCTCCCTCGTAAAAAACCTAGAGACTCTGACCCAGTGGATAGCCCTGAGGTTTCTCTAGCAAGACGTGCCACTCTACGTTCTTCCACAAATAAAGTTCAAGCTGCCCAGACCCAACTTAAAAAGACCTATGACACAGCCAATGAAAACAGAATTAGTAAAACACTTCAAGCCTTTGAAACAAGCTCTGACTTGGAGCACCTGAAAGCCTGGAAACTGATCCGTGAATTGGCCGGAAAGAAGTCTGGAGTCCTATTTATCCAGGGGGATGATAGACTAAACACTTGGAAAAACCACTTCTCCAAGTTGCTTTCTGCTGATAACCCGCAACCAAACTCGTCCAGAGTACCGATTACTCCAGTGTTCAACATTAATCACAATATTAGCTGTGATCCTTTCTCACAAAATGAAGTAGACTTGGCTCTCAACCAGATGAAACCGGGGAAAGCCCCTGGGCTCGACGGCCTACCTTTGGAATTATGGAAACTGCCTAAAGCTAGAGAAAGTCTCACTGTGTTCTGTAACCAGGCACTAGCCAGACACAGACCGCCAGAGTGGGGTCTCGCAGGTATTGTCCCAGTTCCAAAAAAGGGGAACTTGACACTTCCCGACAACTACAGAGGTATATCCCTCACACAAGTGGCAGCAAAGGTCTACAACCGCCTCTTACTGAATAGACTACGCCCCGTTATTGACAAGTTACTCCGTCCTAACCAGAATGGATTCCGACCATCACGTTCGACCTCAGCACAAATCCTGGCCCTTCGCAGGATTGTAGAAGAGGTGCAGAATCACCAAAAAGAAGCAGTTTTCATATTTATTGATTTTAGAAAAGCTTTTGACTCTATTAACCGTAATACTATGTTTGAAATTCTTTTGGCATATGGCATACCCCCTCCAATAGTAAACGCCATCAAAATCATGTATGAAGATACAACAGCTACAGTTCTCACACCCGAAGGAGAAACTGACTTCTTCAAGATCGAAACAGGTGTTCTACAGGGTGATCCGCTCGCTCCTTTCCTGTTCATAATCACTTTGGATTACGCACTACGCAAGGCTGTCAACTCCAGTGATGGTCTTACACTGCGGAGGAGACAGAGCTCCAGGTATCCGGCGGTTGTGATTCCTGACCTGGACTTTGCGGACGATATCTGTCTACTTGAGGACACCATTCGTGCTGCACAGAGTCTTCTACAGCGAGTGGAATCAGCAACCCAGGAAATTGGACTGTACCTTAATTCTTTGAAAACTAAAATGATGCATTTAAATCCAAGTGACCAGCTACAGGCACTACTTGCTAGCGATGGGACGGTAATTGAATTGGTTAGTGACTTTAAGTATTTAGGTAGCTACAGTAATTCAGTGTATGATGTTAATGTTCGTATTGGCCAGGCCTGGGGGGCATGCCACGCCCTAAAAAAGGTGTGGAAGGCCCCGATCCAGAATACCACAAAGTTAAAAGTCTTTAAGTCTTGTGTAGAGCCTATTTTGTTGTATAGCTCCGACTCATGGACTTTAACTAAAGTCTTGTCTAAGAAACTGAATGGTAACTACACGCGCCTGCTTCGGTGTGTGTTGAATGTTCCATGGCAGAGCCGCATGAGTAACAAAGAACTTTACAACGGTCTACCCCTGATTACCCAGACCATTCAGAACAGACGGCTGGCCCTTGCCGGTCATGTGGTACGCCACGAAGAGATGGCTGCCAAAGTGCTTCTCTGGCAACCAGATGTAAAAAGAAGGAGGGGACGTCCGTGCCTAACGTTAAAGAAACTGATCGAGGAAGAGGTTGGCTTACGGGACGAGGAACTTCTGTCCGCCATGCGAGACAGAGCCACATGGAGTGACATTACGAATGGCACCTTAGAGGATGACCTGAACTGAACTGAACTGTTACATGTAGAAATCTATCTCTTGTAACACCCTCTACTCACTCTTGGTATTTCTTCTTGTCCCAATGATTTAATATCAATTCTTGTTTTGAAGAATACTAGTATCTGACTTTTTGTGACATGTTTGTTTTATTTGTAGCTCATAGTGTAGTATGTTTTTAAAATATTAACCAAATGATATTTCTTTGTTTCGCTTTCAGCTGTACATCAACATGCAGGATCCCAAACTCTACAAGGACAAGATCGCTGAAGTGTTGAGCCAGCTCGAAATGAAAACAACCAAGAAACAGGTTAGCCTTTCTGTAATTCTGACACAAATACAGATTTTTCCCCGTCAAAACTGATGGATTGGACAAAATGTTTGTTCATCACGAGCGGCGAACCTCCATCAAATTACAAAAATGGCTAGAACACTGGTCAGACTTGCTGTAATCACTGTGTTGATGAATTTGACATCAACGTTGTATATTTCAGTCCAAATCCTGACACCTTATTCCCTAACCTGCACATTCAAAGTTAGGGCATCCCCAGTGTTATATAAGTTTCATCAACTTGAGCACATTGCCATCACTGTCTTGTATTTTTCTTCTTCTGCTTTAGTGAAAAATGTTGCATATTTGATATCAATGTTGCAAACATATTTCAGTCAGAATCCTGACACTTTATTTCCTACCCTTCCCTCCATGCAGACTCAGCAGTTCCCACCCTGCTTTATCAGCTACTGCTGGGCAAACTCTGAGGAGGCGTGTAACATGGGTCAGGTCACCAGATATGCAGGCGCTGTGGGCAGAGGTCAGGGTCTTCTTCTTGTAATTATAAGGCCTCTGTTGTTGTAATTATCAAATCCTACATTGTTGTGTAATAAATGAGTGGGGAGCTCACAATGTGAATCACTTTTTATTGGAAACTCTCCTCCTTCATTACATTTTTACTTCATGATTCTCAAATCAGAAAAATATAATGATGTTCCATCTAACAATATTTAGCTATGGTGCACTTTTTGTTTGAAGATTTTATATGATTAAAAATGTACTATCATGACATACTGTTTTATCAGTGGATCCACGGCAACTGAAGTCACACCTTGAGCAGAAGGATGTGAAATGCTGGATGGACATTGAACGAGTTGGCAAGGTAGTTATCTCAACATGAATCTGATAGCAAAGAACATAATGTGAAATTTCACACTTTACATTTTACAAAGTGTACAAGAACTGTTATCAAAATCCTTATGTTTTCTATGAAAACTAAATTTGTAATTTCCCTGACAGGGAGGACTGTTTGAAGACATTGCAGAGGGACTGCGACATGCCAAGATGGTTGTAGCCTGTGTTTCTGACGAGGTAAATATCTTGCTCTATGGAAGAAAAATCGATTTTGCTATATTCTAACTCATCTCTGCAGATATTATATGATTAAGAAGAATGCAGATACGCACTGTAACCAAAGTCTTTAAGGCTGTCATTGTGAACATATGTGTGTATATAGCGGTTTATCTATGTTGGCAGTTAACCAAGGAGGTTTAAGATCAAACCTCCTTGAGTTAGCACAGTACGTTATAAATTTAAATTTTGTTCCTACAAAATGAAATCAGGGCATTGGCAGAGAATGTTAATGGTGAGAAGGAAAAATCAAGGCAGATGTTGACATACAGAAGGTTAACATATGACTTGTATTATTATAATATTATTTTGATCCCCCCCCCCCAGTATGTGCGCTCCAAGAACTGTCAGATGGAGTTTCGCTTTGCTGCCGTCACCCTGAGACTGCCCATTGTCCTGGCTGTGGTGGGAACTGGCTACCAGTGGGAGTCAACTGAGGTCAGGACAACTTCTTTGTCAAATTTATTTTCATGAGTTTGTCAATTGACTTTATATTTTCAGTTTTATTCAGATCCACAATTAACCTCATAAGAGGCTATTCTTCCTGTGGTCTACACATTCATATTACATACATATATTACAAACATACAAAACATTACAAAATTAACAGTACATGGCAAACTTTACACAATTCACTATTTACAATCCAGTACTTTCTTTGACTATATCTGGATGTCAGTTTTCCCTTTCAGTATGATATTCAGTCAGTTCACTTGAAGATAAAATGAATAAAAATTGAACAAATGAACTTATTTCCAACAAAAGTTTCAAAACCTTAATCTAGGTGTGTGGAAATTAAAAGAAACACAAATGAATGTTATGCCAAAAAACAGTGTCACTGACAAGCTAGTCTGGATATGATTTTGGAAACGGTCAGACATTTCAGGTAGCATCAATTACCTTTCATCAGTGATTGTTTTTAGCATATCTTATTACCTGGATGTCTAACCTTCATCAATGTATAAATGAATAAAGAAGTAGAATGGTTTATTTCAATTTGAAACTCAAGACATACACAATTCGCACTGACGACAGACTCGCAGGCAACCATACTGGATGCCTGAATTGCTCTGTGGTCACACAAAATATCATTAAAATATGGGTATTATTGTTCTGAACAACCAAATTGTGACATGCCCCCACAGTGTGGTATGCTGAGCCTTGGGTTCAACAAGATAAACTTCCAGCATGGAGGAGAAGTGGAGATGGACAGGCTGGTGGAACTCGTGCAGGAGAAGTGCAAGACTGAAGACGAAGCCACAAACGACAGTGCTGATGACGACAAGTCTAGCAACAGTGCATCATTCCAGGTCTGCTTTTATCATGAGACACTGATTAAAATTCAACTTCAGTTTTAACCACTAATAGTTCATTTAACTCTTTAACTTTATGCATTATTCCAGAAGTAAATCACATTAGTTGTAAGCAAAAGGAGTGGAATAATGTCAACTGAAAGGTGGCATGCTGAAAAAAGTTCTGTCTTGTTACACCTAACCTTTGAACACTTAACTCTGAATATTGTTTAAAGCTATCTAATGATAATGCCTCTACTGTACTTGGTGACAGTGAGTTCCACTCTGCGATAGTTCTAGAAAAGAATGAGTTTTGAACACCTCAATCCTTGGTTGATAACTCTGGTACTTGAAGGCATGGCTATTTCTTGTTCTTTTCTTGGTTAATACTCCACTGCCTCTGACCCTATTACCCTTGCCTGCCCCCCCCCCCCAGGAGCTGTATGAGTTAGCCCAGAGGAAGTTCCTGCGACAGGTGGCTCACTATGAAGAACTGCTGGACCTGCCTCCATACCCGAGACTCGTGGTTGTCGACTTTCATCACCAGGTATTTGTCATCTCCAACCAGATTCTGTGGGGCAAGGGGAGTCTAAACTCAGTCTGGTAACCTGTATCCATTGGTCTTCTCTATTTATTAAAACAAGATGTAAACTGGCAACCAATATAGTCACTCCTCTTGTCCCACAGAAGCTGCTTGGAGATTATTAATAGTATTTTGACCTGTCATGAAAGTTCATCTTTGTTGGTAGTTTAACATGTTTAAAAAGCTAAAACTTTTGTTTGGACATAAAAGAGATGAAATATTGTCACCAATAGATTTTGTTGATTGTCACTCTTGTCTTAAGCTTCTTCAATACACTGACCCAGAGAGACTTGTCACATGGCTTCTTTGAAGTGTGACGTCAACACTGTTGTGGACTCACGTTCAGAAGTAATTGGTCATTACTTACCCTGATGAAGGCAGCAGTGGATTCTCATGTACCCTTGTGTTGGATCAGCATCGTACTAAGATTTAGAAAAAAATGTTCTTTTCTTTTTATAATCAGCAGCAGAAAGAAGAGTCAGAAGAAGGGAAAGGCGAAGATGATGATGATGAGAAGAAAGAAGAGGAGAAGGAGGCTGAGAAGGATGATGACATGGAAGTAAGTGAGAACAGGCCAGCATCAGTCATGGAGAGGCCCAGGACTGCTGGGATCAGGACTATGGCAAAGGTGAGTTTCTACCATAGTCTTGTTGAAAACAAGTTTAAATTAGATGATTTTGATTGTATGTTTGCCTTTGTGGTGTGATTTGAATTAGAAGCAACAGTAGTGGCCAAATATTGGACATAGAAAATCATGGCCCATTTCAGAATGTTACACCAAATCTTACAAGCCAGTTACCTACACCGACTCTTACTACACAAGATTCACTTGCTCCCGATTTTAGTACTATTCTTACACCCATGGGAATTCATTACAACAAAAAAGGTACACTGCACCCATGGGAATTCGTTGCAAGAAAATGAACAGCACCTTTCAAAACTAATACTTTCATCAGGAACTTTTAAGAGCAATGCTTTTATTCCGGTATGTCATCTTACACGCACGCGTGAAGCTTTTATTCCAATATTACATCTTACACGCACGCGTGCGCACGCGTGCCGTGCGTGGAGGCGCACGCGTGACGTGCATGGAGCGTGACGTGCGTGCCTCTGCGTCTAAATAATACAACATGCCTCTTTATTACCTTGCACGTGGCTCTCCTATAATATAAACAAACAGGCAAAGCAGGAAGAAAAAAATTGACGGATTTTTTTCAAATATTACATGTTACATCTTACAGACACGGCTCATTAACCACTGCTGAATTTACAAACAGGCGAGGGTGTGAAGACTTGGAGGCACGTGGCTCTCCTTCTATAATATAAACAAACAGGCAAAGCAGAAAAAAATGGACGGGCTTTTTTTCAAATATTACATGTTACATGTTACAGACACGGCTCATTAACCACTGCTGACTTTACAAACAGGCGAGGGTGTGAAGACTTGGAGGCACGTGGCTCTCCTTCTATAATATAAACAAACAGGCAAGGCAGGAAGAAAAAATGGACGGGCTTTTTCAAATATTACATGTTACATCTTACAGATACCAGTCATTACTAACAGTGTGCTGAATTTACAAACAGGCAAGGGTGTGATGATTTCTAATTGGTGGCGCGTGGCTCTCCTGCAGAGCAGGAAAAACAAAAAGGACGGGCTTTTTCAAATATTACACCTTACAGACACGGGAAACTGTGCTGACTTTTCAAACTGGCAAACGTGTGATGATTTCTAACTGGGGGCACGTGGTTTTGCTTTAAAAAATCTAACTATAAAAACACAAGAGGAATGAACAAATCGCCGTGTTACCTCCCAAAAGCACTTCATCAACAAATGGGTTTGAATGTGTAGACGTGAAGACTGAAGCTGTACACGTGGTTGCTATTAGTAGTGGCCGTGCTCGTGTATCTGCTATCTTATACGTTTAGATACTAGTATTTAAGATACTTCCATGGTTTCAGGCATGGTTTTAGACGTAGGTGACCTTTTTGTTCCTGAGTGCGTCCGTTTATTTGTAAACTATTCTATTGTTGTGACATGCACTGAACCCACTATGTAAATAAAGGTCTCAATGACCTCCATTTCTTCCTTCAGAACGAACACTGTAATGTAGCAGCTTCATTTCACCCAATGATGGTATAAGATTTTTTACCAACCACGTGGTACACTGGTATATTGGACCAATTCGATCACACCGCAGAGGTGTGACAATCCGGGATTTGGCTTGTAGTTGTTTGACATCAACAAGCCTCTTATCTCGCGTGCCGCCCGCCCTGGCCTGCCGCGCCCTCATTTCACCCAATGACAAGGGTAAGCTGGAAGTTCATTTCCATTTACCACCCTGGCTGGAATTCGAACCACGTGGTACACTGGTGTATTGGACCAATTCGAGCACACCGCAGAGGTGTGACAATCCGGGATTTGGCTTGTAGTTGTTTGACATCAACAAGCCTTTGATCTCGCGTGCCGCCCGCCATGCTGCCGCTTTATGTAGGAATAAAACTTTCCCTTTCTTGCAGTGCACTTTCAAAATTTTGTCGCCCCTTTTTGCCCGTTCAAGGTGGGTAAGGCAAACTTTTCCTCCGTCGAACGGCAACAACGCGACGGGGAAACAGGCGCTGCCCCCCCCCCCCATTATATATATAACCCCCCACCCCCCAAAAAAGAACTATGTTACTAGTTATGTCCTAAGGAAGGGTCGCCATGAAATCATATACTGGTACCATTAAGTATAGTAGCACCATGAAAACGCACTCTAATGTTCACAGAATATTCATTACTGTGCCACAGATTTTACAGAATTCTCACGACACTGTCACTGTCACCTTTTGTGAGGGCTGCCTGTGTGGGAGTTTAGTTGTAAATATCCGGTTTATTTCCATTTACCACCCTGGCTGGAACCTATCATGGGAACCACACCTAGCGGTTCGTTTCAGAGAAAAACTGTTTATATTATAGAAGGAGACCCACGTGCCTCCAAGTTTTCACACCCTTGCCTGTTTGTAAATTCAGCACAGTGGTTAATGAGCCGTGTCTGTAACATGTAACATGTAATATTTGAAAAAAGCCCGTCCTTTTTTTTCCTGCCTTGCCTGTTTGTTTATATTATAGAAGGACAGCCACGTGCCTCCAAATCTTCACACCCTCGCCTGTTTGTAAATTCAGCACAGTGGTTAATGAGCCGTGTCTGTAACATGTAACATGTAATATTTGAAAAAAAAGCCCGTCCGTTTTTTTCCTGCCTTGCCTGTTTGTTTATATTATAGAAGGAGAGCCACGTGCCTCCAAGTCTTCACACCCGTTTGTAAATTCAGCACAGTGGTTAATGAGCCGTGTCTGTAACATGTAACATGTAATATTTGAAAAAAGCCCGTCCGTTTTTTTCCTGCCTTGCCTGTTTGTTTATATTATAGAAGGAGAGCCACGTGCCTCCAAGTCTTCACACCTGTTTGTAAATTCAGCACAGTGGTTAATGAGCCGTGTCTGTAAGATGTAAGATGTAATATTTGGAATAAAAACGGCAGTTTTCTCTTCCTGCTTTGCCTGTTTATGTTATAGGAGAGCCACGTGCCTCCAAGTCTTCACAGCCTTGCCTGTTTGTAAATTCAGCACAGTGGTTAATGAGCCGTGTCTGTAAGATGTAAGATGTAATATTTGGAATAAAAACGGCAGTTTTTTCTTCCTGCTTTGCCAGTTTATGTTATAGGAGAGCCACGTGCCTCCAAGTTTTCACACCCGTTTGTAAATTCAGCACAGTGGTTAATGAGCCGTGTCTGTAAGATGTAACATGTAATATTTGAAAAAGCCCGTCCGTTTTTTCTTCTTGCTTTGCCTGTTTATGTTATAAAGGGAGAGCCACGTGCCTCCAAGTCTTCACACATGTTTGTAAAGTCAGCACAGTGGTTGATGAGCCGTGTCTGTAAGATGTAACATGTAATATTTGAAAAAAAAGGCCGTCCGTTTTTTCTTCCTCTGCCTTGCCTGTTTGTTTATAATATAGAATGAGAGCCACGTGCCTCCAAGTCTTCACACCCGTTTGTAACTTCAGCACAGTGGTTAATGAGCCTTGTCTGTAAGATGTAACATGTAATATTTGAAAAAGCCTGTCCGTTTTTTTTCCTGCTTTGCCTGTTTGTTTATGTTATAGGAGGAGAGCCACGTGCCTCCAAGTCTTCACACCCGTTTGTAAATTCAGCACAGTGGTAAATGAGCCGTGTCTGTAAGATGTAACATGTAATATTTGAAAAAGCCTGTCCGTTTTTTTTCTGCTTTGCCTGTTTATATTATAGAAGGAGGGCCACGCGCATCCAAGTCTTCACACCCTTGCTTGTTTGTAAATTCAGCACAGTGGTTAATGAGCCGTGTCTGTAAGATGTAACATGTAATATTTGAAAAAGCCCGTCCGTTTTTTCTTCTTGCTTTGCCTGTTTATGTTATAAAGGGAGAGCCACGTGCCTCCAAGTCTTCACACATGTTTGTAAAGTCAGCACAGTGGTTGATGAGCCGTGTCTGTAAGATGTAACATGTAATATTGAAAAAAGCCCGTCCGTTTTTTTCCTGCTTTGCCTGTTTGTTTATGTTATAGGAGGAGAGCCACGTGCCTCCAAGTCTTCACACCCGTTTGTAAATTCAGCACCGTGGTTAATGAGCCGTGTCTGTAAGATGTAACATGTAATATTTGAAAAAAGCTCGTCCGTTTTTTTCCTGCTTTGCCTGTTTATGTTATAGAAGGAGGGCCACGTGCCTCCAAGTCTTCACACCCGTTTGTAAATTCAGCACAGTGGTTAATGAGCCGTGTCTGTAACATGTAACATGTAATATTTGAAAAAAGCTACGTCCGTTTTTTTCCTTGCTTTGCCTGTTTATGTTATAGAAGGAGGCCACGTGCCTCCAAGTCTTCACACCCGTTTGTAAATTCAGCACAGTGGTTGATGAGCCGTGTCTGTAAGATGTAACATGTAATATTTGAAAAAAAAGGCCGTCCGTTTTTTCTTCCTCTGCCTTGCCAGTTTGTTTATGTTATTGAATGAGAGCCACGTGCCTCCAAGTCTTCACACCCGTTTGTAACTTCAGCATAGTGGTTAATGAGCCGTGTCTGTAACATGTAACATGTAATATTTGAAAAAGCTCGTCCGTTTTTTTTCCTGCTTTGCCTGTTTGTTTATGTTATAGGAGGAGAGCCACGTGCCTCCAAGTCTTCACACCCGTTTGTAAATTCAGCACAGTGGTTAATGAGCCGTGTCTGTAAGATGTAGCATGTAATATTTGAAAAAGCCCCTCTGTTTTTTTTGTTTCTGCTTTGCCTGTTCATATTATAGAAGGAGGGCCACGCGCCCTTAAGTCTTCACACCCTTGCCTGTTTGTAAATTCAGCACAGTGGTTAATGAGCCGTGTCTGTAAGATGCAACATGTAATATTTGAAAAAAGCCCATTTTTTTTCTTCCTGCTTTGCCTGTTTATATTATGGAAGGAGGGCCACGTGCCTCCAAATCTTTGCCTGTTTGTAAATTAAGCACAGTGGTTAAGTGCCTGTGAGATGTAAGATTTGTGGAAATGCCCATTTTGTCTAATAGTATGCAGTCAATACAGAACTAATTTCACCTTTGTGGTTAATGAAATGTAGTATAGAAAGCAAAGCCGTGTTAGATGACCTACGGCTGCGGCTTGATTTAGAAAAAAAGCGTCTCAGCAGTCTGTATCTACAATTTTTCAAGGGAAGGAGATCGTATAACCTTACAAATCAATCTTAGCACCTTAAGACCCAAAGGAATGAATTCCCTTGGGCACAATTTTAGTCAATGTAAGATTTGGTGTAATATTCTAAAATGTGTCTTAGTTTTTCATGTCCAATTTCTTGCCATGTATAAGAAGCAAAGAATTCAAAACATGCTATCATGAATTTGTGTTGGTAGTTAACTGTTAAGTTACATGTTTAAAGTTAAAACTTTTGATCCAACACAACAAAGTTCACTCTTGTTGTGTTGGATCAAAACGTTTTAACTTAGAACATAATTCAAAACATGGTTTATGCTTCAGATAATAATTTCTTGCATCATCTTGTATCCAAATGTGAAAAAATGGTGTCTCACTGTATTTTTGTTGTCACAGGACATGACACCAGTCACACCTACCTTCTGCTTCAGAGTCCTGTGTGAACATGAACAGGTGGGTCTTGTTGTTTTGTTGTTACTCGTTGATATGCTTACTCATCTACATGTATATCTTCTGAAATTATAATTCCAAACACTACCTACAGAAATACTAACTTAAATAATTTGAAAAACAAAATTGTCCAAGCCTGTCCTACCCAGTATTCTATTCGACATGTTCTGTTCATTCTAGTACAGTATTCTATGGTAGGAATAGAATAGACCTGTTCTATTCTATTCATGTTCTATTCAACATTCTATAGTATTCTATAGTAGTAATAGAATAGAATGTTCATGTTCTATTCTATTCAATTCATGTTCTATTCAACCTTCCATAGAATATAATTATTATGTTGCCTATGATGTTCCCAGGGTTGGCACCTGTGTAGTACTGCAGGTGTGCCTGTACCAGGTTCCCAGGCTGAGCTGCAGAGTAAGCTGAAGGCCTGGTCGCCCTACCTGGCCAGGCTGTACGCCATCCTGAAGCACGGGCCCGTGCAACTGGACGTCTTAACAGAGCAGGAGAAGGGAGACCAGTTCCTACAATTTCTGGAGGAGGTACAAAAAATCATTTTCTGTATTTGATATATCATTAAGTAATGTGAATTGCACTTAGATCAGCATGCACCAAGTATACAATGTAATAATTGGTTTGCAAGTCTCAAGTAGGAACTGTACTACCGGTAGATGGTATATGCAAATAGTATACAAATTTATTTTTGTGTACATGTAGTCTTCACACATGAACACTAGCCAACTGCTGCCCACCCCTGTTTCAGGGACCCTGCAGCAGTATAATAAAAAAAGACTGGATACTAGTTGTACTACATGTATTTCTAGCTGTCTCCCTTCAGAAGTCTTTATGATTCAAACCATCGCACAAATATTAGCTGTAATATTTACCCTCAAGATTAATTATATTTCACTTTGTCACCATGTTTTCCCAGCATGTTGGCTCGAGTCTGGACTTCAACCAGCCGTACGGTGAACTGATCAAGGCAGCCATGGCGGCAGACACTGAGGGGACTGCAGGAGGACTGGCAAGGTAGATTTTGGTTCATTATATTTTGTTTATTCTACAGTAACCTGTGCCTTCCTTCCTTCCTTCCTGCCTTCCTTCCCTCCCTCCTTCACTCCTTCCTTCACCTACTTACTCACTCTCACTCACTCACCCACTCACTCACACTCACTCACTCACTCACTCACTCACTCACCCACTCACTCTCTCTCTCTCTCTCTCTCTCTCACTCACTCACTCACTCACTCACTCACTCACTCACTCATTTGTATGTACTTCCTAGATGCCACCTGCCCAATGGTAAGACAGTCTGGCTGTGTGAGCAGCACAGACACAACGGCCGGCTGACAATCCTTCCTCTTTCTCTCCCTCATTCATTCATTTGTTCATTCACTCTTTCATTCTATCTATAGATGCCACCTGCCCAATGGTAAGACAGTCTGGCTGTGTGAGCAGCATCGACACAATGGCCGGCTGACTATCCTGGACAGTGAGGTGGCGGCGCCTGCGGCGGGGGGTGGCGAGCAGTCACAAGTCGACGCAGACATGCTGGAGCAGCTGCAGAATCTGAGCATCAACGACGTGCCCACACCACAGAAACAACAGCAGAAACAGCAGGGGCAGACGCAGAAACAACAGACAGCTGCAGCAAAAGGTATAGAATATGATGAAACATCTGCATCCAATGCAACATTACACACTCAAATTTTTTAAATTAAGCTTTTGGCTTGGACAGGAGTAAATCAGTTGGTTTCATGTGTGCCCTTATATATTACATACATTTATGTAATGTTACATCTTTTGTTAAAACTATTTACGGAATTTCTCTGAAATGCTGGAAAGTCTTTCTTTCTTAAGATGAGACTGCCATTGGGTACAGAATAGGATCAACTGGACATTTTATCTGTGCAGATCCTTAGTATCTTATCTTAAAAAGTAACCAAGATGGGTGGAGAAAATGGGTGTGGTGCCCCAAAAGTAAAATAAAATAGACCATGGGATAGATGAGATAGGATGATGATGACATGTATAATTTGATAGTTCTATTGCTTATTCTCTTTCACAGACCAGTTGACCAATAAATGTTTCCTTATGACAGGTACAGCAACAAATCAGGAACCAAAGAAACAAAACTCTGTGGAAGAAGGAGCGAAAGCTGAAGCCCCTCGGAGACCAAAGACAGCCAAAGAGAAATTTAGGAGTGCCGTCAATGCCATCAGTGCTACCAATACCCAGAGCAAGGCCTGCTCACTGATGTAGATGGGTTCATGTTAATTTGTGTATAAGATTTGTCTGACTATGCATTGCGCGTTGCGTTTAAAATGCCAATGATAATGGCGTGATATGCAAGTCAGGTAACCAATTAGAAAGTGGAAAAGGAAATGAAAAATTATGATCTTACTCAAATGAAAGTTGTCTTACACTACTTGTAATAGTGCAATCTTGCAATGGTTGCAATTTTAGACAGATGGTCATGTCATTGGTTTTAAAGAAATTTATTTGTATTTTCATAGATATGATCCAAAATATGCTTTATTTTATTAAGGAGATAAAGAGTAGTTAACTATGTGTGTTTTATTTCTTGTCCATAGATTTTTATCTTGATTCAGTGTGATTTTATCTGTATCTGTATAGGCGGTATATTACCGCCTTTCTGCGGAACACCAGATTTTAAGTTGTAACGTTATGCGTTACCAAAATTTTGATCTTTAATAATGTCAAGGGATGCATATCTTCTCACTTGTTTCCATATAATTATAAAATGTAAATTTTGAGTCTTTGTGTGCAAAAAGTGTATAATGTTATAGGCTAAACAGCCACATGTTTGTTATATATATATATGTCTACATTACAAAATGTTTTCATTTACAAATACATGATGCAGTGCTCATACTTTGTCCATGTCTGTGCAATTTGATCCTTGGTAGTCCTTCATAGTCAAATGCAATTTAATAAATTATATTATAATGGCCAGTAAAAAAAGGTTTTAAATCATTGTCACCGTGGTAAAATTGTATCTTATTTCTGTCAACTCTGTGCACATGAGATCCATTTGTAAGATAAAAGCATAATGTCTTTGCTTTGAATTATTTTATCCATTACGAACTCTCTCTGTTAACCCACTGTCAGGTCAATGGCAGATGAGACACTGGGCGGACATGTGGTATTGTGACATGTGCCAGTTGGACCGGGTACACGGATTGGGGCTGTCTGTGCTGTACAAATACTGCACACTTGTACAGTCAATACACACTGGAGGAACGCCTTGGGTAAATTATGCCTGGTCCTGAGATGTCGATATGTTTTAAGGAAGTCTACAGCACTCTATTCATACCTTGTCCCAGCTAAACAATATTTTAACAGTTATTTGACGATCGTAATTATTTCTTCATTATCTTTGTATCCTGTCGTAAAGCTAACCAGACTTTTGGTACATGGACAGTTTTGGACAGTTTGTAGACTATTCATCAATCAAGGACTGTTTTGAAAGGTAGTAAGCACGTACAGTGTACCCCCAAGTTTTCGGCTGTCCACTGTACTTCTTTATTACGGAGTGATCTATTTTCGCGAGGACACGAGACTAGATTAAGACTTTTTGGACAGGTTTTCAAGGCTAACTTAATCAAAGTTATAAGCCACAGTGGACGTTTTGCACACTTTTGTTGTGTGTGAAATATAAGGGGCGTTGTCTTTGTCCAAGAAGGTTCAACAAAGGTTTATTAGGCTAGGCCACACCCGACTCAAACATTACACAATAGAGTCTAGTATATGAGTTTACCTAGTCCGGTAGTTGGACAACCTTCAAGGCACCAGTAGCACCAGGGGTGGTACATGTAGATCGTCTGCAAGATGGGTTACAACGTGTTGAAAGAACTGTGGGCCTTCCGAACGTCTGTCATATTTTGGTTTGTCCCAATCGCTGCGTGCCCGCTGCCTATATACTTCGGTGTGGCCGAGCCGGACTTTTACAAGGTAAGTTTCAAAAAGACCCAGATAGAGTTGGACTAGAACTGTAGACTGCACCGCTTGCAGGCTTGACTGTAAACCTACAAAACAAGGAGTTATAGGTATCGGCGTTGCGTTGTGGAACATGGGTCATGGCTGTGTAGCGATCTGTGTTAGATACGTTTACAGAAAATACCGTAGCGCAGTATTTCTGCTAGACGAATTGTTTGTTTCTCTTCTGTGTGTCTACAAATAAACTGATTGCCAGACCTATATAGTAGCACGCGGTCCTTTCCTGGTGTCTAATATCTTAGTAACATCTCTGATCAGAACAGAAGAGATATTCCTTATACTGTCTTAAAGAAGCTAGGGGGTTATTATAAAGCACAGATCAATCTAACCTTGTTCCCATTCTATACAATTTGTGCGTAGTTTACTACCCTAGTAGGTGGACGTGTTGATTAAAGATTCTTTTAAGGTTCAAGGCCGGGACAAACGCAAACAAAAAAAAAATCAGCGCGCAGGTGTACAATACAAACGTACAATACTAGTATATGGACGAGATGGAAGACACTATTTAGTAGTCCCTTCTAAGCACTGAGCTCAACGTCCTTATTTACATGACACAGTTTCTTTTGAAAATAGGTTCAGGGCGACTGTGTTTACTCCATGTGTTATGTAATTAATCACCAGTAATTCACTCTAGCAAAGAAACACTGTGAGCCATATTTTACACCACTTGTTGGAACTGTCATTCGTAGAAGCTGCCGATTCTTGCCATCAAACCCCTTGATAACTTGGTGTACAGCTTGATACATGCATAGCATGCTGTATATTGTGGAAAACACTTCGTTGATTACGTGTTTGATCCTGCAAATAACAAACAAGAAAATCGAGCAACGCCGCGACTAGTACCAAGTGTATACATCTAGGGCAATGACCGCCAGGCCGGTGGTTACACGGCCAAAACAAGGCAGTGACGAAATGTAACCAATTTCAAAGTTCAATGACACACGTAAACGGTTAAAATGTCATTTAGGTCTAACTCTGGTGTCTTTATGTATGGTTTTAAAGTATTGACACTAGGTACTGTTTGGTAAGCTAGGTGTTAATAGAGTAAAAAGACGACGAAAAACTTGTTAGACTTTCACCTGTAAGTTACTTTCTAGCTACGTAAACACCACACGTATCAAAGGTCGTTACTCGTAAACAACAGTGACTAAGTCGAAATAAATGCCGATTAATCTCATCATAATTGGCATTGCATTATAGATAGAGGGGGTGCGTGATAGAGGGCCGAAGAACAGCCCAACTCAGGTCAACTTGTTTTATGGATGCAGAATGTTATCTACGTTCCTACGACATATTCAACTGCGCTTGCTTCGAAGCCAAATTGACGGCATTTTCAAATTGGTTTATTGTCCAAAAGCATATTGCAGCCTGACGGCTGAATTGCACGCTCATTTACAATCAATGGAATAATAGACTTTGACTGAATTTTTAAAACAAGTACAATTCTAAAATTACTAACTGTAGCAGTAGCAACAAATTTAAAATCACACTAAAAGTAGTATCTAAACAATTTCCAAGCATATGTATCTGTATAGCCGGTATAACCGCCCCTCAGGGTAACATACGAGATTCGCAGGCACGCGGCGTGGCTGCAGCTGGCTATATTTCACCAAACGACTAACCTTTGCACAACTAACTCTAAAACGTTGTTTAAAGCTATCTTAAGTGATGATGCCCCTACTATATTTGGTGGCAATGGTTTTACCATGGTTTAGAGTTCCACTGTACCATAGCTCTACGACAGCTCTGGGTTGGCAACCTTTATTCTGGCAATCACACTTAATGTTGACTGCGACAAGGCTGTGTCAGGACATGTCGAACAACCAATGAAAATGTCTAGACAGGCCCAAGAGCTGACTAAACAACAGAGTACGTGTAATCACGCCACGGCTTTGAAAAATTGTTCCGTAATCTCGCGGGTTTGTTTTGTAAACAAAAGGTGTCTAACAGTAACCTAAGGGCGTTTAAAGGTCAGAAACGGAACGTATGAGGTAATGTATAATTTACAACGCATCTTGTAAAGTTGTAAAAGTTTAAACTTGAGGTGATAATCATCAGTAGATTGGTCTCAGGTAACCTGGCGTTTGAACAACAATCTGTAGTCCGCAGCACTGATTTATGGGGGTGAACTGAGCCTTAATGACCATATTTATGACTTGTTGTCTTGACCTCAGTGAATAGTTTCATCAGGTTGGTAAGTCACTGGGTAAAGGGACCCTTTTTACACAAACAAGTCTTTTATTACGCTGACGTTTCGGTGACCGTTTGTCACCTTCCTCAATTCTGACTGGTTCACATTGCACTGCAGCACAGGTGTCGCTGCTACTTGTTGTCTTGACGTCAACGTTTGCACAATAGTGGACATGTAGATCGTATGAAAGCGTATAATTATGCGTATAAACACAAGACACGCACGCAGGCACACACGCGCGCGCACACGCGCGCACACACACACACAAACACACTACTAACCACACACAAACCCACAGACACACACACGCGCGCGCACGCACGCACACACACACACGCACAGACACACACACGCACAAGCACATGCCCCATACACACATCTATCACTGTTACACTGATGGTATCCTTTGTTTCCCCAGCAAGCAGCATGTGCGTACGTGGTGATCATCATGGCGTTTTACTGGATGTTCGAGGTAGTACCCATGTCAGTGACGGCCCTCATTCCGCTCATACTCTATCCGGTCATGGGGGTTCAGAAATCTGGGGACGTCAGCAAGAACTACCTTAAGGTAAGAACTGTACTACATAAAACTGCATGTTGCTTCTAAAGAGTAGTTCGTGGCCACAAAGTACACTTTAGCCCACGTTGCACTGTCCTTGGCAGCAGTTGTTTTATTACAAGTGCAATCGAAGAGCGGACAAGATTCATAACGTCATGACCAACCTTTGCAAGATAGCGATGTCAAAATTTGTGCTTGCAAGCAGAGGTTTGGGTTTTGGCTTATTTATGGCGTGTTTAGGCTTTTGGATCGGGTTTTCGTTTTAATACACTGGTACTTTTATCACGCCAGTTGGTTTGGCGTAAAAAAAGATATCAGTGCAATAATAAGCCAAAACCCAAACCTCTGCTTGCAGAGTAAGTTTCAGCTTTCTTTTCTGGTATTAGAGTTGTATGTCAGTGGCTGACTTTCGTACCAATGTCTTCCCTGTATATAGGACACCAACGTGCTGTTCCTGGGCGGCCTGATGGTGGCAGTAGCTATAGAACATGTCAACCTGCACAAGAGGATCGCGCTCAGGGTGCTGCTGCTGGTCGGGTCGCAGCCAAGATGGTTGGTGTATCATTCTGTATCTGTATAGCCAGTATAACCGCCCTACTCTACGGCGTAACACACAAGCTTCAAAGGCACGCGTAAGGCAACCTGGCTATAGCTACATTACACTGGTGCCGCATCCATGAAACTAGCATGAAAGTTGGTAAAATGCATAATGAGGGGACGGCGGGCGGTACCGACTTCCGACGAACTTGACCCAGTGAGCCAGTGCTGACGTCACACGTGGGAGAAAAACAAGTGTCTACAGCAAACGTCTCAAGAAGAGAGAAGTAACGTGTAAAGCTTAGATATAGATAGAACAATTTACTGTAGCATAGTCTTCCTATTCCTTGTTTGTAACTAACGTACTGCATTTAGCCCAACTGGGGCGTGAATATGCAACAAACTACTTCATTGTCATTGTCATTGTTATTGTCATTATATCCAGGTTGATGCTGGGTTTCATGCTGGCCACGGCGTTCCTGTCCATGTGGATCAGTAACACGGCCACCACCGCCATGATGACTCCCATAGGAGCCGCCGTGCTGGCAGAACTCTTCAAGGAGGAAGACCAACCGGATAAGGAAGGTGACGCTAACTTCTGTTTGCTTCCTAAAAGAAGCAAAGGACAGTCCATGAAAGTCTAAATACAATGTCGCAAGGTAGTCTAATGTGACAGGGTGGTCCTGTGGTTAGGGTTATTGACTCTGAATCTGAAGATTCTGGGTTCGAAACCTTGACAGGCCCAATTGTTGTGTCCTTGGGAAAGGCACTTGACACTTATTTCCTCACTTAACTTGGGTGTAACTGAGTACCTAACTTAGGTAAGGGGCGTCCTCTCGGTTAAGACGTAAAGCCGGAGGTCCTGTGTTTAAGGAGAACCACACCTCGAGCACGTTAAAGAGCCCACCACACTTGTCGAAAAGAGCAGGGGTTCTTCCCGGTGTGAGTGGTTCAATTTATGAACCTTAAGTCTGCCATTAGCACGACAAAAATATGGTGTTGGCCTTCTTGTAAGTTGACGCTGGCTTTCTTTTGTACAGCCCTGCACACAGTGAAAGGTGAAAGAAATCAAGCTGTTGAGCTGGATGCGATTGACGTGGAAGGCACGCCAGTGTATGAGTAAGTTTTAGAATATAGAAACAGTTGACGAGAGTGGAGATAGAATAAGAAAATGTGTACTGAAGAAAGACATAAAACAATTTAAAAAAAAATACTTATCTTACCATATGTAAGTGTCTCTGTTTAAAATTTAAAACGTTTTCTGTTTTGAATTTTTCCTTAGAGTAAGTGTCTCTGTGAAATTCAATGCCATTTTTTAAGCAACATTATATTTCACTGGAAGATAATTCACAATGTGTCGACTATTTTTTTAGCAATGTAGCAGGAGAGAATGGAGAAGCTGTAACGCCAGATCAAGAGGTAAGACATAGTTACAAGAGCATACGTTGCTTCTTACAGGTTCGCATTTTGAAAGATCCCGTTTGCTACATCATTTGTAAGTGAACCTTGGAAATATTCGTTCATTTGAATGATCGTTTGTATTCTTACAGAAGGAAATGCCTTTCGTACCTTTCTTATAAACCTGCCTTTCTGACAACTCTCCAGTGTCATTGACGAAAGGTAGTGGATGCTAACTGAAACGTCTGACCGTTTCCAAAATCATAATATCCAGTTTCTTAAGTAACTGTTTTTGGCGTATCCTATTACCTGGATATCTAACCTTCACCGACTTAGAAATACTCATTTATTTGAATGGTCGTTTAATTTTGTATTTCATAGAAAGAAATGCCCGACGTGATCACGGATAAAGAAATGCCCGTAGTGATCATCACCGAGAAAGAATCATCCCGCCGACAGTCGATGCAGAAAGGCATGATGCTGTGTATCGCCTATGCCGCTAACATCGGAGGAACAGCGACTCTTACTGGCACCGGACCGAACCTTATTGTCTCTGAACAGATGGAAATGTATGTTTTACACTCCACTATATCAATCTACCTCCAAAATGCGTTACCGTTCTCGTATTTCTAGATAACTACACTTGATAATTATGTTTACCTTCGCAGAAGGAAACATTTTGTTTTTGCTCTGTTCCTTCTTCTGTTCCAAACACTTAAGGTCGATGACCTGGACCAGACGTCTGTCACCATGGTAACTGGTGCTGTAGCAGACACCCTCTAGTGTTGGGTTACATTATGTTGCAAGCTGCATGACAGGGTTGGAATCATGTAACGTTTCATTTTGCATAGAAGCATTCAATTGTAATAAAAGACGGCAAAACATATAACAAGTAGGACTATAAATATGAATCAATAACCCTAATATTATACTTCACTTTCTGTACATAGAATCTTTCCTGATGGTCCCGGGATTGATTTCGCTACATGGTTCTTCTTCGCTGCTCCCGGGATGGTTATCACTTTGTTCCTGGCCTGGTTGTGGCTCAGTACGATTTTTGTCGGCTGCAGGTAAGCCATTCCTTGAGGAGCTAATGCTTTTCGTATAAAAGCAATATTTTGGGTTAGGTCCCCAGTTCATGGACCAGTGCAGGTTAGGTGCAGGTAGACATCAGAAATACCTGCACAGTTCCAATTTTACCTACACTAATACCTATGCACCCAGTATTTTGAGCCCTGATTGTGTATGTCAGAACGCGGAATGCACAAATGTACCTAAGAGTTAAGACTCTGCCTTCACAGCTGTGCCGGAGACTGCGCCTGTTGTGGTCAGAAGAAGAGAGGCGGTGCAGAAGATGTCATCAGGAAAGCCTACAACGAACTTGGACCCGTCTCGTAAGTCTTCTGCCTTTCCATGCATCTACCAAGGTAATAAACTGACAAGCCATCGACTAGCCTATGTAACCCAAGCTCCGGGGGGCTCCCTACATAGTCCGCCACCCTGGCCGGCTGGATGTTGGGCGGCCGGCAAAAGCGATTTAATCAGGCTAGCCATCGACTACATCGTTGTTTACTCCTCATCATTGGCAGTCCAGTCTCGGAAGACTATCTTGTCGCCACCCTGGGAGTGCATCGTCTACTGTGGCTGTAGAGTCCGATTCGTGAATTACAGTCTCTGCCACAGTTGGTACAGATGTGTGATGTAGGTATAGGTGTCGTCGGTGTCACCATCCTCCTTATGGCCCTCTTCTCTGCTGCTTCTGACCCTCTCTTGGCATCCGCTGTTTACTAGTGACTGGAAAATATGCACAGCTAGAATCTGTGTTTAAAGCTTGAACTTTTGATCAAACACAAAGAAGTTCTCTCACCTAGAGCTTTCGACTAGTCAATCTGGCCTTCCTCATCAGTAGGCATTGTCACGTGGCTACGTACTTTTGTGACATCTGTGTTTTAGAATCTGTGTTTTTCAAGAGGATTATTATATTATCATGTCTACAGATTCGCAGAGGGGGCTGTGATCTTCCACTTCGTTCTCCTGGTCTTCCTGTGGTTCTTCAGGGAGTTGAAATTTGTGGATCTGGGAGAGAAGCAGGCTGGCTGGACATATTTCTTCACTCCGGGGTGCGTACGCACGGAATTCAACTCCTACAATGCAATGCTTGCTAAAGTGTCACTGCCTATACAGTGGGTGTCTGTGTACAATTTATGAATGCACCATGCAGTCATCGAAGATGAAAGGCATCCAACGCAAGTTCAGGATTCAATTTCTGTATGGCATTGAAACATACTGCCGCATTAGCACATTTGCATTCAGTACTTCATACTTAAGGCATTCAAAACACTATGAGTCCTTTCTTTTCTGCGCGGTACCCCAAAAATCACCCAGGATCTTACAAGTAGTCATTTTCCGTCACAGTTTTCAGCAGTTTTGCTGAAGGTTGTACCAGTGAAGACATTTTAACAAGTACTGAAGGCTAGGTTTAACAAATACTGAAAGCTTAATTTGATCCCACCTGTACAGTTACGTGACTGACGCCACCGCCGCCATGATCGTAGCTTTTGCCCTGTTCATGTTCCCGTCCCGACCGCCAAGGTTCCTCTGCTGTCGCAGCAAAGACGGTAGGATAATATCGCTTCCTTAATAACGCTTAAAACTGGTGCAATGGCCAAGTGGGTAAAGTGCTCGCCTTGCATTCGTGGTGGGGCTAATCAACTCCTGCCTGGCGTGCAAAGCTCTGACAAAATACTTCCTGCTATAAAATTGCAACACGATGTAACTAAAAAGCCAACACTAGTTGCCATGGTGACAGACGTCTGGTTCAGGCGATTGACCTTAGTTGTTTGAAGAAGAAGAAACTGAGAAAAACCATACGTTTTTCTTCGGTAAACATAATCATAGACAACACTCATTGACAACTTAGTATTGCCACTTTGTTCAGACGAAGAGAAGCCCGGTCCGGTTCCAGGCCTGCTCGACTGGCCGACCGTTCACACCAAGATGCCGTGGCACATCGTGCTGCTGCTCGGAGGCGGATTCGCACTGGCTGACGGGGTAGAGGTAAGGGTGTTCTTAAACGTCATACCTCACATTGTAGCTAGGTGTCGCTGCAGTTGAAATCAGGTGACTGAGGGTACCGGTGTTTGCACAGAATTCCAGTCGCCCTAGATCTCCATCAAACACAAAGTTTGCTAATATTTTGAAAATACTTTGTTCACCAAACTTCGCATTCTATAGAATTCTTTTCTTTTCTTCTAGAAATCCGGGCTGTCGGCTTGGCTGGGTCAGCAGTTCAGTAAACTTGAGGGAATCGAGCCTTGGGTCATCACAATGATTGTGTGCATCGGAGTCGCCACTTTCACAGAGGTGGCCAGCAACGTCACAGCTACAAGTATCTTCATTCCCATCCTGGCACAAATGGTAGGGGACAAACCGTTTCCTTCAACCAGTATTGAACCTACACTAAGTATCTAATACCAGCCCAGAAAGGAACAAGAAACAGTCATGCCTTCAAATATCAGAGTTATCAACCAAGAATTGAGGTGTTCAAAAACTCGTATTTTCCAAATAACTATCATAGAGTGGAACTCGTTGCCACCATATATACAGTTGGGAATCATCACTAGATAGCTTTGAAGAACTCCAGCTATTAAATGTGCAAAGATTGGGTGTAACAGGTCGTTCGGTGTAATATTGCTAGCTGCCGCAGCGTCGCGTGCCTGCGAAGCTGGTCAGTGTTATTTATTGTTATGTGATAAGTTTTGATTGACTAATTGATTGATTGATTATATTATTGATACGTCCCTTCTTAGGCCAGAGGAGTCTGCATGAACCCGTACTTCCTGATGGTCCCAGCAGGCATTGCGGCCTCCTTCGCCTTCATGTTGCCCGTGGCAACGCCGCCGAACGCCATCGTCTTCTCATACGGAGGGATCAAAGTGTCCGACATGGTGAGGGTTCCTTTACAGTAAAGTTTACATAAGGCCACAGCAAGTACTTTAGTACATTAAACTTTTTATGGATGACAAAAAGCGCACTGATGTACATGTCATCCATAAAAATTACTTGCCGTGGCCTAAGACATGTATTCCACGTATTCCTATACTCTTTATTTCTTTATTTAGCTTTTCCATTACAAGTGGAGGGGCACAAAACAGGCGATTGCTCACCCCTTCTCGTTGTCTCCCACTCAAGTTTCTCGTTGTTTCTCGTGGCAAAACCCAAATTTTTGAATACCATATCAAAATAAGGTTCAGTTATAATTAATGCCTTTACTTATTCAAACTACTCTCGAAACTCAAACTTCTCACAAAATTTTCCGAAAAGTTCGCGCAACATCGGGTCAGTTCCCTTACCAATGACAGTTTCTCCTCTCTACTCCTCAGGTAAAGACTGGATTCCTGATGAACTTGACAAGCCTGCTGGTTCTCATGGTCATGATCAACACCCTGGGAGTTCCCATCTATGACATCAACACCTTCCCCTCCTGGGCAAATGATACTTCCACGCCCTGTTTTTAAAGGGGCGTTATTGAGATGTTTATTTTGCAAATTCATGCCCAAAGGCTGCTTGCAACATATCGCCAAAAACAGTTATTCAAGCTTAGATATGATTTTGGAATCGGCCAGACGTTTCGTCAGACGTTTGGATGCTACCTGAAACCCTTTATCGTTTCCAAAATCGTGTCCAGTTGCTTGTTTTCTGGCGATATCTTATTACCTGGATGTCTAACCTTTACCGACGCGATTGCAACACACAATGTGTACAACATACGTAAAGAGTAACAAGTGTATCGGCCTAATGTTGCATAATGCAGCTTTACCAGACAGTGGAACCCGCTTGTGTATAGCTACAGTAGCATAGTTGTATTTACATTTTGTATTGACAAAAAGATCGTGCTAACTGATGCTATGATACTGTTCTTCCATCTTGTCCAAAGCATGTCTTGATGAATCTCGTAGTAGCCTTGACATGACTAGGTTACTAGAATGGCACCACGCCTGGTGGCATCTTTTAATTAAGAGTAACAGGGCGTGTTCCATGGCTCACCGCGAGAGTAATAGAAACTTGTTGGACAACGATGTGTTCAGAATAAATACTGGACGAGTACACTTTGCCCCTTCACCATGTGTGTGTTCTGATTAACTTTGTCGTCTGTGTACAGCGCTTTACCTGTCAATATTGTTTCTTGTGAGTACTCTCTCTTTTATTCTACCACATACACTGCGACTTGGTTTTAACTACAACGGTGACACCGAGAACCATGAATAAAGAATAAGTACCTAATCTTTCATCGTGTCTTTAAAAGATAGTATGCATTGTCACTTTGTCGCTTGAAATTTATAGCGTGTGTCCTCTCGGATGAGTTTTCTGATCGCTGACTTGGATAAACCCTTTGGTTAAACAAAAGTTTATCAGTCCCCGCCCGGTACGGGTTACATATTACCCAGGTTCTGGCAGGTGCTCTGTGCATGTTTGCCTTACCTGGCAGTTGGACGATTTCCAGAGTAGCGTCAGGGCGGTGGAACGTCTTCCAAGATGGGATACAACCTGTTTAAGGAACTCTGGGCCTTCAAGCAGTCTGTTATATTCTGGTTTATCCCCATCGCTGCGTGCCCACTGCCCATTTACTTTGGTGTGGTTGAGCCGAGCTTCTACAGGGTAAGTTTACTGGTGTTGTTTCTTCGGCAACGCTGCCAAAGTCCTAGTCTGATTAGAACTCAGGACTGACCGCCTTTCACTGATGCAATGGAGCTTCACGGTTGATCTAACGAAGAAAGATTCAGAGATCAACTTTATGTGATGTGCATGTGTAGTAATTACTGAGTATTTTATGACTTATCGAAACATTTCCCCACATTCTTCTAGACAAATCACACTCATAAGAATTGCTCGATCGTCCCCTACGTTTCTCAAAACCAACAGATTGTTCGGTCAACTAACCTTAAGACGCGTGTCAAGTGGGGACGTACAATACTAAAGGTTCGCATGTTAGTTGTAAGTCCTTCCTGTTTTACTGGGGGCATCCGTGGGATGGTTGTAAATGTGTCCTGCAAAATTAATTTCTCGTTATGGAAAAGGCTATCGATAAAGATCCTTATCAGTGACTGGTTCTGTCACAGTCTGTTTGAAAATTCTACATATAACCTTAAAATTCGTGCGACGACTTATGTCAAATGTGGCAGTGCCTCAAAAAGATGAACTTGCCTCGTCATGTTGTAGAAACCAAGTCAGAAGCCATAATCATGATAATCCCCGCCTCTGCCCTTTGAGTTCGTTAGCTCCTGAAGTGAACTTACAACCCTTTAAACTTTAGTTTTGCTGACGAAATAATTTGCTCCGCTGATTTTCCACAGTCTTAAACTTACAAAGAAACAAACGGATAAACTTTATTGCACTACAATTGTACAGAGTTGAAATTGTGTGACACCACACTAACAACCGTAAATGAGAAAAAGAGGGCTTCCCAACTTTACGAATTCTATAAGACTTGCACGAGCTTGTTAACTAGGACACAAATTAATATGTAACACATTGATCACGCCGCACGTTTTGTTCCACGTGTAGTCTCTATCGGACGACCAATAATCGTAGTATGTTGTCTAAATAAACATCGTAAAAGTTGGTGAAATGGAGTGTAGGCTTTGCGATTGGACTTAAGCTGGAAAGAAGGGTCCTGGCTTGCCACTGACTTCTTTGGCTAGCTCATGCTTCTAGTGGATTGTAAGAAGCAATCCATATATAGCAAGTCCTCCAAACGCCCTAGGTAAATACATAATATACACATGAATATTTGTCTCCCAGGGCGTTTCGACGATTTCCAAATACGTGCCAGATAGGAGTTACAAGGCCTTGAAGGAACTCCGGGCCTACCAGAGATGAGATATATTTTGTTTCATCCCCATAACGAAAGCAAACTTATTTGAAAGACTTTCTCTTTTTTAACACTGCATTTATCAAAACCTGTAACGGAACGTGCTAGATTCACTCGTCATATTCTGGTAACCAAGTAACAAATCGATATGCTTAGCCCCGGGCCCGCCCTTTTGACACGAACTTTGTTTTCTTTTGAAGTGAACTTAGACCCATTTTAAAGTTTTGCAGACAAAAGAATTTGCTTGCACTGGGTTTTCCCGCTATACACGTTGTATAACATCATAGTAAAAACCACAAACGAGAAGAAATAGCTTCGTCACTTTGCAGATTGATAAGAGAAGAGGTTGATAACGTTACCTAGGACACAGTGTTTATGTAACACATCGTTCACGTCATGTTACATGTGTGGTCTCCACTAGACTCATCCGTTTTCTAGTCTAAACAAATATTATGCAAATCGGGAATATACGCTGTATGTTTCTTGAAGACGAGAAACATTGAGAAACGCCCTCAGGCGATATGTGTCTGCTGGTTAAAAATAAAACAAAACGAACAAACAAAACAGAAGAAACGGTCTGGCTTGCCGCTAGTGCAAGTGCATTGTTCAGCGTTCTAGGGCCATCAAGAGATACTTATAGCGACCTGTAAACATATGTTTTACATGGCTTGGGTCTATGAGCAGGGTACGTTTGCATGTGTTTTGTAAATGAACTTGTTCACAATTGCAAAAGCAAAGAAAAGTAGGACACACACTAATCTTACACAGTCACTCTTGTATAAAGCTGATTCTAGCCATGATACAGCATTAAGTGGGAAAATCTGTTACATAAGTTGAGGCTGATTCTTTATTAATTACGTATTAACGCAATAACATGTCACCCAGAGGTGCCAACAGTGCCATGACTCAGCAGGTATCAAAGGTCGTTTTGGCTGCTGTTTGACTTATACGACAGTGAAGGATGGCGTGCATAGGAGACTTTAAAAGAAGGTTATGACAACGAAGGGTCAAACTCTTAAAGTAAAGAACTGCACACTACTTCAAACGCCTTAGGTAAATAGTTAATACACACAAGATATATTTGTCTAAACTTGATGAGGACAGTGGCTAGGCATGCATGATCCGATTCGTGTTAAAACATCTGAAGTGTCTCTAACATGCACATGAGAGAGGTACTTCTGTATAATGGCTATTGCTTCACTACACACATGCGAGTTTACTGAGTGCAAAGCCACAAGGGCCACTTCTGGGCACTGAATTAACGAGTGCTCACTGAAGCAGCATCTCTTCTCCCTACGTCAGAAACATCAAGCTTAGGCAGGTTTGACAAACTGACTCAATAGGCGAAGCAGGGGTTACGAAGACTACATTTTAGACCGGAATGGTTTGAGCCACTCACACAGGGAAGGACGGTTTTTGATAAGTGTGGCGGTTCTTTAACTCACTTCTGTACAAGAGTTTATTACAAATACATGCCCGAGGGCTAATTGCAAGTACAAACAACATGTATGAAAAAGCGAATACAGTGATATATGGGACTACAACATATATGGTACTAGTTTTGTTGGTTTGACTTCATCTTTTGCGGCAATGAAAGACGAATTTACTCACTTTTCCTATGATGTGTGGGTTCCTTGCTTTTAGTTGTAAAATTATTTTCTCATGGGTTGTACAATGTCTATTGTTTCTCCAGGAAGCAGCATGTGCCTACGTGGTGATCATCATGGCGTTTTACTGGATGTTCGAGGTAGTTCCCCTGGCTATCACGGCCCTCATCCCGCTTATACTGTATCCAGTCATGGGGGTACAGCCGTCTGGGGATGTCAGCAAGAACTACCTCAAGGTACGTACATGTACGGCATTTGAACTACCTCAGGCCACTATAGCCGAATATGGCCTCACGAGCGTTTGGTTTTAGGTCGGCAGCTACTTTTCGGCAACGCCAGTGTTGGGTGTTGGCAGGTGGTTGGCTAGTGTTCGGGAGTAAGTCAGCAGTGTTTGGGGCTCACATTTGACTCAAATTCGTTTCGATTCGCAAAGAGCGCTAGGCGTTGCCTATTATTATCAGTCAAACGTGATGTCCGTCTTCAATTTGCTCTAGACAATATTAATATGGACAAACCTTCTGGTCAGTAGGAATTTTGGGGCATCCATAACCAGTTTCTATAACGTTATGTCAATGTCTTCCCTGTACACAGGACACCAACGTACTGTTCCTGGGCGGCCTGATGGTGGCAGTAGCTATAGAACATGTCAACCTGCACAAGAGGATGGCGCTCAGGGTGCTGCTGCTGGTCGGGTCGCAGCCCAGATGGTACGTTCACTCTAATCTCCTAGCAAATCTTTTACTTTTAATCTCAAAGCAGATCTTTTTCTTCTAATCTCCAAGCAAATCTTTTTCTTCTAATCTCCAAGCAAATCATTTTCTTCTAATTTCCAAGGAAATCTTTTTCTTCTAATCTCCAAGCAATCTTTGGTGGTTGCAAAGACAGCCAGGCGGTATCCATTGGCCAGACAGTTACTTCAGTGGCGACTGGTGACTGCCAGGCAAATGGATACTACCCTGCCAATTTGATTATGTCTTTTTTTAAAATTTTTTTTATTTTATCTATATTCCGAAACATGTAATCACAAGACGTGGTGACGGCACACTCAAGTTTTTTCAACTTATATTAATGCCGCCACCAACACAGGGACAGTACAATACTCATTTTCACCTGAGCGAATTGAGTAAAGTCGTGTAAAGTGCCTTTCCCAAGGGCACAAGATCGGTGGCATGTCAGGACTCGAACCCGGGACTCTAAGTTCCGAGTCGCGCACTCTGCCACTACGCCACACGACCCCACGATTATGTCTTTGCAGCGACTAATCCCTATATCCTATGTTCTACTAACTTGAATTATTTAAAAAAAAAAAAAGAAACTTGTTTACTGTGAAACGACACGTTGTTGCTGTATTTCTAGGTTGATGCTGGGTTTTATGATTGCCCCGGTCTCTCTGTACGCACACATCGTCTATATAAAGCGGTTTTTAAAGATTTTGTATTGACCAGAACTGGCTTAAGATCAGTCTATTTGCGTTGCATCTAGGCTGATGCTGGGTTTCATGCTGGCCACGGCGTTCCTGTCCATGTGGATCAGTAACACGGCCACCACCGCCATGATGACTCCCATAGGAGCCGCCGTGCTGGCAGAACTCTTCAAGGAGGAAGACGAGCAGGCCGCTAAAGGTGATACTAATATTTTCATTGCTACCCTTGATTTGTCGATGAAAGTTAGACATCCAGGTAATGAGATACACAAAGAGAACGTTACTCAAGCAACTGGATAGATTTTGAAAACTGTCAGACCTTCCAAGTGGCATCCTCTTAGTCACTGACGAAAAGTAATGGATGCTTCTTGAAACGTCTGACAGTTTTCAAAACCTATCCAGTTGCTTAAGTGACATTTTCCTTCTGTACACTTTGATTTCTTCTCGTAATGTTTTTTTACCGTTTTGGGGACATCGATGGAAGCATGGGCTGTTGAAGGGTACTGTGGGAAACTTTACGGCTGTGTATTTGTCATGCACGAACGACGGTACTATTTATATTGACATAGGATGAATCTTTGCTAGCAAGTCGCGAGGAAAACGTCTATCAGCGCGCGTTGTGTTTTGCATGGATTCTGCTGAAATAAATCTCAGACCATCCACGGTCATATCTTCGTTGTTTTTTTTTTATTACAAAAACGGCACATTACATGTATATTCCTCTTAATATAGATGAAATGTTGAGAGTGAGAGGAGAAAGCAATGGCGGTCTGGAGCTGGAGCCTATCGACGTGGAGGGCCAGACGCCCGTATATGAGTAAGTTATTGTTCAAACATTGTGATAAGATAACATACTCAAGACCCACAAGTGGTAAATCAATTGTGATAACAAGATATACTTCAATCATTACATCGGAGCTTTATCGTTATTTTTTTCCTTTGCAGAAACGCAAACGAAGTAGAAAAACAGCAAGAAGAAGACGAAGAAAAGGTAAGATCTTAATTAAATGTATTACTTCAATATTGATAACTCCAAGAAGGATGTTACTCAATCATAACCAGACGCCAATTAACATCTTTTTACAGCTCCGAAATATTTCCTTTGCATTTTGCTAAATGGCTCCGAAATATTTCCTTTGTTGCTTGTAGATCTGTATGTGTAAATAACATTCATTTCCACGTTTACTCAATGATGAAATCTTTTCTTCTGCCAGCCCGAGTCGAGCGCGAAAGTTTCCGCCCGTCGGCAGTCCATGCAGAAAGGACTGATGCTGTGTATCGCCTACGCCGCCAACATCGGAGGCACAGCGACTCTTACCGGCACCTCTCCCAACCTCATTGTGTCCGAGCAGATGGAAATGTACGTATCATTATACTTAAATTTATACTATGCGGAGCATCGGCCATGAAGCCATTAGAGGAACTGCGCTGTTAGAACCGCAGAGATTGATTAACAGAAGCTACAAACCGACTAGCAAGACAAAAAAGAGTCCAAGACACTTAGAATGTATACTCTATGTTAATATTTCTTATCTAACTAAAGTGAAAAGTGTTATACCGATACTATAGGCACCATGTTTTCCTACTGAAGGGTGGACGTTGAAAAATTGGTTCTGCAGTTGAAGTACAATAGACATAACCATCGGTCAAAATTACAAATCACCGAAATATATGGTGGATGATAATATTAAGCTTTCTTCAGCTTGAAAGCTGAAGTAAAGTTAAGTAAAAAAACAGGATTCATTGCAATACAGCGATACATAGAGTGGCAATCAGAGGGCTCCAAATAATGCACTTAAACGTTCTTACGTACATATTCGTTTATTCTTTTCCGCGTACAGCCTGTTTCCGGACAGTCCCGGAGTTGACTTCGCCACCTGGTTCTTCTTTGCGGCTCCCGGGATGGTCATCACTTTGATTCTGGCCTGGCTGTGGCTCAGTTCTATTTTTGTCGGCTGCAGGTAAGATTATTTCAGATATTTCATGTCCGTCTCGGAAATTCTGTAATGGGCATCAAAATCGGCTAGTCCCTACCCTCATTCTTCCTCTTTTGCTAAATTTTACTGTTTTTGAACCTGCATCGTTAGTTTGTTTGGTTGACACTAGCTTGTTTGACTGCCAACCACACCCCGACCTACCTACAAACACCAGCCAACCACTAGCAAACTATGGCCGAACCACCTGTCGAAATCCAAATGTTTTAAACATTCTGAAACATTCGGCTGGCGCAGCCGAACAGTAGCCAACCTTGGGGAACAATAGCAGACCTTGCTCCCGACCTACTCCCAACAATGGTTGGGTAGAGTTCAACAGTGTTCGGGAGGATATATTCAGGTGTGACAGGGGTTTAATGAAGAGTTCTTGTCCCTCCTCAGATGTGCGGAAGACTGTCCCTGTTGTGGCGGGAAAAAGAGACAAGGTGCTGAGGACGTCATCAGAAAAGCCTACGATGAACTGGGACCATTGTCGTAAGTTTCACTCATTATGTAGACTCAAACGATGTATCAAAGTACGGGAAAATCTAGAAAAAAAAAATATTGTTTTTGCTCTGCTTCTTTATGGTAACTGGTGCTGTATCAGACACCCTGTGGTGTTGGGTTACATAATTATGTAGCAAGTTTCAGGACAGAGTTTGAATAGTGTCACAACATATATTAATGTGTTGAGTAAGAATACTACTAGTAAAAAGAACAGTAGTTTGTTAGGCTATGTGAAGGTTAACATTATGCATTTGCTTTGCCAATGTTACCTTTCTTTACTACTAGTACTTGATTGTTTGTTTGTTTGTCACTTTTTTCTTGGCCAGGTTTGCAGAAGCAGGTGTGATCTTCCATTTCGTTCTCCTGGTCCTCCTGTGGTTCTTCAGGGACTTGAAGTTTGTGGATCTGGGAGACAGGCCGGCCGGATGGTCTTATTACTTCGTTCCAGGGTAAGAAATTCAATCACTCAAGAAACTCAATCAAGTCTGGTGGTACTGGATACCTTCTGGTTGATGTACTATACGTAGAAGGGCAGGCAAACTCCCCTCGGGCTCAAGCCCTCCTAGCAGTAATTTTGAGGGCAGGCAAAGTGTTTTTGCTACCAAAGGAAACGGCTAATTGTCCGATACTTGACTTGCTCCTAGGGTAGACTCAGGTGAAAATGAGTACCTAGCTTTGGTTAGGGACGTCTACTCGGATAGGACGTTAAGCGTTGGTTATTGTAAAGTGCCCATTTGCCAGAGGAGTGAGGCCAATGGTCACTTGCCACTGTAGGACAGTATCCATTGATCTGTAGTCATGCCATTCTTTCTCTTTTTTTCCAGTTACGTCACCGATGCCACGCCCGCTATCATCATCTCGTTCGCCCTGTTCGTGTTCCCGTCCCGCCCGCCCAGGTTCCTGTGCTGTCGCAGCAAGGATGGTATTTATTTAGTAACATTGACATCACATTTAGTAATCTTAAAATGCGCACAATTTGACATCATATTTAGTAATCTTAAAATGCACACAATTTACGCTCGTTCTTGGTAGTGTTAAAGCCTCGGAACCTTCTGACAATCAACTAAGCAAGGTTGGCTGAAGTTCAGGAGCAGTCTGACCAAATTTAGGCCATGCCTACCTATCAATACAAATCGAATTGAATTTGAGTTGGATTTAAGTAAAATTTGACCCTTGAAGAAGCCCAGAACACTGCTGACCTAGACAAGATCGTCCAAAACGTCAACTGAATAAAACACGTGATTGTGTAAAAAAAGTCTTTTCATTCGGGAGGCTCATTTTTATCACAGAGATATGTCTTGTACACAACTCAATACCATCGTTCTGTATGATACACAGTGTATCATGTTGATGCAGATGAGGAGAAGCCCGGTCCGGTTGAAGGCCTTCTCAACTGGCAGACCGTTCACGAAAAGATGCCGTGGAACATCCTGCTGCTCCTCGGAGGCGGATTCGCACTGGCTGACGGGGTAGAGGTAAGGCTTTTTAATCTCCAAGCAGACCTTTAGTTGACTACAAAGACTGTATCAGTTTAGCCAGGCAGTATATCAATTTGCCAGCTAGTTACCATTTACCACCCAAAGTTCGGCTCGCGGAAAAAAAGGTACCGGTACAAAGAAAAAACGCCTAGAACACGTTGAAAATAAGCCAGAGCCTAAACTTCTACTTGGAGAGTAAGACTTTTCTTACATGTCACAGGGTGCAAAAGGAAACTTTATCACTTTTATAACATTATACAATGCCTGTACAAAAGCACAACTAACCCTTGTACCTTTTTACTCTGTAAATACAAAGATGACTCATTGCCACCAAGTACAGTTGGGGCATCATCACTCGAAAGCTTTAAACAACTACTGCAATTAAGTGTGCAAAGATTGAGTGTAACAAGTCGTTTGGTGTGATATAGCTTGCTACCACCGCGCTGTGTGCCTGAGAAGCTGGTGTGTTACACCGAAGGGTGGTTATACCGGCTATACAGATACAGAAGCTGGTATGTTATGCCAAAGGGCGGTTATACCGGCTATACAGATACAGAAGCTGGTGTGTTACGCCGAAGGGCAGTTCTACCGGCTATACAGATACAGAAGCTGGTGTGTTACACCGAAGGGCAGTTATACCGGCTATACAGATACAGAAGCAGGTGTGTTACACCGAAGGGCAGTTATACCGGCTATACAGATACAGAAGCTGGCGTGTTACACCGAAGGGCAGTTATACCGGTTATACTGATACTACAGATAATCCCTTGCATATCTTCTCCAAAATGCTAATTGAATAAAAATGTATTTCTCCCAGAAATCGGGCCTGTCCGAGTGGCTTGGGGACCAGTTCAGCAAGCTTGCAGGGATCGAGGCTTGGGCTATCTGCCTGATTGTGTGCATCGGAGTCGCCACTTTCACAGAGGTGGCCAGCAACGTCACAGCTACAAGCATCTTCATTCCCATCCTGGCAAAGATGGTATGAGGCAAACTGAGTTAAACCTGTATACTGTCTGTATGGGTATTAAATGAATGATATGTAAAACAGTGAGGGTGTGCAATGGTTATGGTCTTAGAAATCTTATTCAGAAATTTGAACCATCTCCTGCCATGCAAAACTCCCATATTTTACTCCCACATTAGAGTTATAAGGGTAAAGGCTACATGTAGGTGTAACAGGTTGTTTGGTGTAATATAGCCAGCTGCCACCGCGCCATGTGCCTGCAAAGCTGGTGTGTTACACCGAAGGACAGTTATACCAGCTATGATCGTGACAGATACAGAAGCTGGTGTGTGATGCTGAGGGGCGGTCGTACAGTCCATACAGATAGAGAAACTGGACACCAGGCTAGTGGATAAGAAGTCAAGTGACAAATCAAATTGTCTTTCCACATGCAGGCAGAGGGAGTCTGTGTGAACCCGTACTTCCTGATGGTCCCAGCTGGCATTGCGGCCTCCTTCGCCTTCATGTTGCCCGTGGCAACGCCGCCGAACGCCATCGTCTTCTCATACGGAGGGATAAAAGTGTCTGACATGGTCAGCATTATCTTTTTTTTAATCAAAGTTTATCATGACCTCATTGTATTACAACACACTATAAAGTTACTGTGTTTCACATCATGTGTTACAGTTATGTTTACCTTCGCAGAAAGAAAACATATCGTTTTGCTCTTTTTTTCTTCTGCTCCAAACACACAAGGTCAATGGCCTGGACCAGATGTCTGTCACAATGATAACTGGTGCTGTAGCAGACAGTAAAGAACCCATAACACATTTTGAGGAGAGTATAGGAAGGGGTCCGCACTGTTGTGTTATGCTTCACCTTAAATGACACCTTTGCCTTTCCCTTCTTACCTGTATAGAGATATTAAAATACGGCATTCTTTCTAATATCTTGGCAATCACTCGTGATCTTTATTTGTAATCAGATACAGAGTCATGTACAGATACATAGTCATGCACAGATACAGATTCATGTACAGATATACAGACTTTCCGAGTATGATGACCGTGTCAGCCCCTGCACCTGAGTGAGGGTCACAGTTGACACGGTAGCCTTCGCGTGAATTTGTTTAAGGTGGATAACAGGTTGCGAATCTGAGACCCACACACTTCGGCATCCGTCTTCCCCAGCGGATCCATCGAGGGAGACGTGCTGGTTCCGGTTCGGGTGCTTGCAGCGAGCTGCCGGTGACTTGGTTACGCTCAAGTTCCGCCTTGATCACGCCAGCCCGCCTGGCGCTGCTCTCGTCCGCCAGCTGAAGACAACTGCCGTTGGAGACTTGACCCTCTAATTGAGGGGGGATATTCTTTCTAATAGAAAGCTTGCAATGTTAGAAAATCACAGTGGGGATGGGTACCCATCCCTTAGCAGCTTCTTACTTCAACCTTACAGGTGAAGTCAGTCAAGATAACAATAAAACTAAACTCTTCTCTTCTACACAGGTGAAGACTGGATTCCTGATGAACCTGACAAGCCTGCTGGTTCTCATGGTCATGATCAACACCCTGGGAGTTCCCATCTATGGCATCAACGAATTCCCCTCCTGGGCCGTCTGCAGGAGTGGAGCATTAGCTGGAAACACCACGATGAGCCCTACACTGATGACAACTACCTTGTAGAATGGACAACACAATGGACACTTATGGATTGTTTTTAGACAAATGAAAATCTGAAAGCATCTGCCTTACCGAAAATGTGTCTTACCATAAAAAGAGACAATAGCTTTGGTTATTTTGTTGGTTTTTGGTAACCAGGCCACTGTGAGCCTCAGAATAAGATACCAGTACCCCTACACTGATGACCACAACCTTGTAGAATGGATAACACAAACTCAGTCTGCCAGATTGTTTTTTCGACGAATGAATGTGGAAATCTGAAAGCATCTGCCATATGTCCCTGAGTGCTACCATACAGTAGACCACCTTGTAGAATGGACTTGTAGAACTCTAACTTCTAAGTCTGCTGAATTGTTTTTCGATGAATGAACTGGAAAGGAAATCCGAACGCATCTGCCATATGGAAAATGTGTCTCACTATACAGTACAAAATGTAGATACTAGTAGAGGCAATAGCTGTAACATAGGTTAGTTTGTTGGTTTGTTGTAACTAGACCATTGTGAGTCTGACTAGGTGTCCTAAATAGTCTGGAAGAGTTGTCTTAAGCTTGAACTCAGGTCAGAATCCCAATGGTCTGAAAATATTACTACCAGTTTAGTTGCAGTAGTGCTGCATGGAATGAACCCATGCTTGTCGTCTGTGACACAGTGTAATATGCTAGGATAGATCAAGACTTAAATGTCTTCTGTCGACAACTGGGGCCAATAGCAATGAATTTATGACATTGGAATTCTGTACAGTAGCCTATTCCATTCCGAGTTTCACTTTATTATGTGTGCACATATATTATATAGTCGAGCCGTATATAGGTTTTTAGCCACAATGACAAACATTTATTTCTTGCACTTCTGTATCAAGTACAGTAGCAGCATCATCACTGGACAGCGTTAAACAATGTTTAGAGTTAGATGTTGAAAGGCTAGGTGTAAGTTACAAGCCATTCAGTGTAATATAGCCAGCTGCCTACAAAGCTGGCGTGTTACGCCGATGGACGGTTATACGGGCTATAAAGACACAGAAATATGTAAATTGACCAAACTCAGCTCTTTATTTGACTAGTGTTAGATCAAGATAGTGATGCAGTGTTGTCTATGTTCGTCTTAAAATTATTTTCAAGTAAAATTTAACATTGCAACCTCAATAATAACATCAACAAATTATGACAATATCATTATATAATACATTGTACATGTACTTGCAGTTATTTGACAATAGTGAGGATTTCATGAAAGAAAAATAAACGTCAAAGATGAACAGGGAGTTTTGTCATGCTTGCAAAATGTGATGAAAACAGCTGACACGCCTACTTAGCGCAGCCCCTTCAAACAATCGGCCTGCAAGCGTTGAATGTTTACCACACAAGCAACTGGATAGATGGAGTCTACCCAGAACTTTCTTTGAATAACAATTTCCTTGTGTATCTGATATCCCACTACCCGGATGTCTATACCTAATCATCGACATGTGTTGGTTTATTCAAGGACGTTCTACAGAAACTGTTACGTTATAACGGTAACTAGACACTTGTGATATTACTGTATTTTAAATAAAGAACAGAAAACATACCGATATTTGTGTCTCCATACGAACGTTGGTTGCGAAAATGTCGTGCAGTCTTCCAAATTTTGGCGCTTGACCCCAACCATGGGTCATGACCCTGAGTCCCGCCAATGAGCAAAGAGCTACCCGATTACTCGGATATTGTCGCCATATTTCTGATGGTAGTATTGCATTTACACATTTTCATCCTATTCCCCGTTGATTAATGAGCTGAAATCATTATATTTACCGGTTTCAGAGGAAAGACAAAAATGTAAAATAAACACACAAAACACATTTAACTATTTACTGAGAACCTGTGTGTAACGTTATATACTTTGCAGACAGTTTTTGTTTTACAAAGAGGTAGAATTTTAATGGATTTAAGCACAAGCAAAGCCCAACGTTCAAAGTGCAGAGAAATATCTTTTCGGTAGGTGGCGCTTTTTAACAAGTCTATCGATGGCTCTGAACAATCCTGTCAGACCCAAAGACTTGTTTATGGACCCACTTTAACACTTTATTGACATTCCTAAGTAAGAACAATTACTTTTTGAACGTTAAAAGCAAAACAACGGAATCCGATGTTATAATGACAATGACAATGTTATAAAGAAAATCAAAAAGAAATGCTGACACTACGGTTTGTTGTAGGTTAAAACGAATTTATTGTTAAGACTGGGCAAAAAAAGATACATATAAGGATCATATTCATTTTATTCCTTATTGCCCACCACCCTTAATTTTTTCATGGTACACCTCAAAGTGTAGCCGTGTCGCTAAGTAACTGACCGTAAACTGATTCTGCAGGGTATACCCGGGTTTCGGCCGGGAAAAATAGTCACTTGTTTCTTATTATGAATGTTTTACCCATTGTATGTTGCAGTTAGCCTTTGGGCATGAATTTGCAAAATAAACATCTCTATAAGGCCCTTTAAAAACAGGGTGTGGAAGTATCATTAGCCCATGAGGGGAAGGTGTTGATGTCATAGATGGGAACTCCCAGGGTGTTGATCATGACCATGAGAACCAGCAGGCTTGTCAAGTTCATCAGGAATCCAGTCTTTACCTGTGAGGTTTAGAAGAGAAACTGTGTTATCGGTACAAGAACTGCATCTGTATCTGTATAGCCTGTATAACAGCTCTTCGACATAACACACCAGCTTCGCCAGCATGCGGTGTGGCGGCAGCTGGCTACACAACTCAAAATATGAAAATGAAGGAATCATTTTTGTTGCCAGCCATGTTTTTTTTGCATTAGATTTGGAGTCCGCGGAGGATGTCATCCATAAAAAGTTTATGTACTTGCTGTGGCCTGACGCAAACTTTACCGCAAAGCAACCCTCACCATGTCGGACACTTTTATCCCTCCGTATGAGAAAACGATGGCATTCGGCGGCGTTGCCACGGGCAACATGAAGGCAAAGGAGGCCGCAATGCCTGCTGGGACCATCAGGAAGTACGGGTTCACACAAACTCCTCTCGCCTAAGGAGGGACATAATCAATTAATCAATCAACCAATAAATAAATATCTTTCTGTTCAGAAACCTGAGCAATGGGTGTCAATTTTCTATTCAATTAAAACAAATTATCACCAACTGAAGATATCTTTCAGAATCAGAGAATGTAATACATTTACAGAAAATTAAAAACTTATGCAAGTGATGTCACAGAGTAACTACATGTAGGTCATAAAACCTTCATCCTTTTTTTTTAATAAGGTTCAATTAATATATAGTTAATCCCAGATTTTAAACATCTTGTCACTAAGTTTGATCAATTTAAATGTCATCTGTGTATTGTCATAGTCATTGTCATTGTTAATGTTGTCCTGCATGCTCGGTCATTACTGGCTGGCATGACCTGGAGTTCTTGTATATTTCTTGTTCACTGAATAAAGAATGATTTACACACATATGCTTAGTTTTGTCGCCTTGAAGGATGCCTTAGCTTTGGATGCCTTGAAGGAAAACGCGTATGTCCTACCATTTGCGCCAGGATGGGAATGAAGATGCTTGTAGCTGTGACATTGCTGGCCACCTCTGTGAAAGCGGCTACTCCGATGCACACAATCAGACACATGGTCCATCCCTCGATTCCTGCAAGTTTGCTGAACTGCTGCCCCAGCCAAGCTGACAGGCCAGATTTCTGGAAGGAAAGAAAGAAAGCAAATATAACTAGCTGCCGCCACGTTATACCTGTGAAGCTGGTGTGTCACACCAAAGACGGCTATACCGGCTATACAGATACAGATAAAGATACAGAAGTTTCTTGAACAAAGTATTATTATAATCAAAACATTAGCAAATTTTGTATTTCATCTGGTTTAGGGCGACTGGAATTCTGTGCAAACATGTAAACTCAGTCACAGGCTTTCAACTTCAGCGAGACCTAGCTGCAGTAAGAGGTAGTGCAGTCAGAATTGTCCCATAAATGTAGAAGATTCTTAGGACAGTAACAGTTGTAACTGTTGGCAGGTGAATAGCTCTTGGTTGTGTGGGAGACATAGAGTGGGCAGACCACACAATCTCTGTAACTGGATGGGGTTCATTGACGACATCCCTGGGGCGGCCGCTAGGATTTAGTCAGACAAGTGTTATCTGTACTACGATGTATGTGTGATTTGTGCTGAAAGCCTTACCTCTACCCCGTCAGCCAGTGCGAATCCGCCCCCGAGCAGCAGCACGATGTGCCACGGCATCTTGGTGTGAACGGTCGGCCAGTCTAGCAGGCCTGGTACCGGACCGGGCTTCTCTTCATCTGCAGTAAATGCCAATGCTACATGTAAGTTGTCAACGAGTGCTGTCTCTGATTTCTCTTATGATATATGATGCTGTAAGTATACTTTTTTGTCATAAGTGTTTGTATGTATTATTTCTGTTAAGTCTTTATCAATTTCTGTCTGCTGTAAATGTGTGTTTACATGTAAGTTCCTTCCCGCATAAAGTGACACATCATGATCAGTTTTTCTACATTTCAATAGCCCTTAGGCCACACACAACAGTGCAATCAGTACAACAGTCCACTGTTAGTGGTGTGTGTTCAACTACCATGATACTCTTTTAAAGGGAAATGCTTAAAGCAGAGAAAGCAGCATGTACCATTTTTAAAGTCTTCGTTTGGTCAAACTCCCGACCTACTGAATGCAAGGCGAGCACTACTCTACCCACTTGGCCATTGCACCAGTTTTAAGCGTTGTTAGCGAAATGCAAAATGTTACATATTATCATACCGTCTTTGCTGCGACAGCAGAGGAACCTTGGCGGTCGGGACGGGAACACGAACAGGGCAAAAGCTACCATCATAGTGGCAGTGGCATCAGTGACGTATCTGTAGAGGAGGGAGCAAATTGTCTTACACGTACATTGCAGAGAACTTTATTGCACGACAATTGTGCATGGTACATCAGACAACATAGCACACACACATAGTCAGACTTTAGCAAGCATTACATTGCATTTGGTAGGAGTTGAATTCCGTGCGTACGCACCCCGGAGTGAAGAAATATGTCCAACCAGCCTGCTTCTTTCCCAGATCCACAAATTTCAAGTCCCGGAAGAACCACAGGAAGACCAGGAGAACGAAGTGGAAGATCACAGCCCCCTCTGCGAACCTGTAAAGACAATAATCCTCTAGAAAAAAAACACAGATTCCAGCTGTGCATATTTTTCACTACAACGATGTAGTCGATGGCTTGCGGGTCTATTTGGTTAAACTACCTCCACGGAAGGTAAACATATTGCTTTTGCTCCGTTTCTTCTTCCCTCTTCAAATAAGGTCAATGACCTGGACCTGACGGCTGTCACCATAGTAACTGGTGCTTCAGCAGACACCCTGTGGTGTTGGATTACATAATCTAGCAAGTGGCAGGCAAAGTTTCTGGCCCCGGTCACCATACATATGTTGAATGTGTTTGAGTAAGAATAAACAGAGCTGCAGTTTGTTAGGCTACACCATTTCTATGTGAAGTTAAACCTTAAAGTTTTTAGTTAAAGTTTCTTTCTTTTCTTGATTAAGACAGCCATTGGGAATGCATGAAAAGGCCATTGAAAATGCATGACAAAAGCAGTTTTAAGACTTACGAGATGGGTCCAAGTTCGTTGTAGGCTTTCCTGATGACGTCTTCTGCACCGCCTCTCTTCTTCTGACCACAGCAGGCGCAGTCTCCGGCACAGCTGTGAAGGCAGTCTGTTACTCTTAATATTAGGTACATTTGTGCACAAGTTCTGGCACACACCATGTAGCCTGGATGCCAACCAACCCCTATCCAGAGATCCTGCCATCTATTTATTTATTTATGAAGATTGACACTAGACTATCACCTATTCAAGATGTCAACCCTGACTGTAAAGTTTGAACCACTTACATTGGGAAGGACCCCTGCTCTTTTTGACAAGTTTTTAACAACCCTAACCACAAGACCACCTTGCCACCGTGTCTGTCATCCAGGATAATACAGTCAGCAATATTACCGGCAAGTTTTTTTTTCCATTTCGGGAACCTAACTCAAAAGATTAGCATTAGCTCATCAAGGAATGACTTACCTGCAGCCGACATAAATACTACTGAGCCACAACCAGGCCAGGAACAAAGTGATGACCATCCCAGGAGCCGCGAAGAAAAACCAGGTGGCGAAATCTATCCCAGGACTGTCAGGAAAGATTCTACATACAGAAAGAAAAGTATAATTATATATATAATAGGGTTATTGAATCATACTTATAGTCCTACTCGTGTTTTGCCGTCTTTTATTACAATTGAATGCTTCTGTGCAAAATGTAACGTTACATACTCTTGTATCAAATGCAATTTCAATGCCAGCAGGCCACATTTGCAAGCAACTGCATAATGTTTGCCTTCACATGATGTAGACTAACATACTGCTACTCTGTTTATTCTTAACCAAAAAATTCATATACATGATTGTATGTTGTGACACGATTCCAACCCTGTCCTGCAACTTGCAACATAATGTAACCCAACACCACAGGGTGTCTGCTACAGCACCAGTTACCATGGTGACAGACATCTGGTCCAAGTCATCGACCTCAAGTGTTTTAAACAGAAGAAGATACAGAGCAAAAAATGTTTTCCTTCTGCAAAGGTAAACATAATTATCAACCATACTCTGTAGTTATCTTGAAAGAGGAGAACGGTAGCGCATTTTGGAAGTAGATTGATATAGTGTAGTGTCAAACATACATTTCCATCTGTTCAGAGACAATAAGGTTTGGTGGTGTGCCAGTAAGAGTGGCTGTTCCTCCGATGTTGGCTGCGTAGGCGATACACAGCATCATTCCTTTCTGGACAGACTTGCGACGAGACGATTCCTTCTCGGTTATCACTACAGGCATTTCTTTCTATAAAAATACAAACGATCATTCAAATAAACAAGTATTTCTAAGGTTCACTTACACATGATGTAGCAAAAGAGATCTTTGAAAATGTGAACCTGTAAGAAGCAAAAGATCGGCTCTTTGTGTCTTACCTCTTGATCTGGTGTTATAGCGTCACCATTCTCTGCTGCTAAACTGCTAGAAAAAATGAACACAATGTGACATATTGATGTACCTACAGAATTTGATAAGGTAAGATGTGTGGGTATGAGTGTTCGTGTGTGTGTGTGTGTGTGTGTGTGTGTGTGTGTGTGTGTGTGTGTGTGTGTTTGTGTGTGAGTGTGTGTTTATATGCATAATTGTGCACTTTGATACGATCTACACTATTGCGCAAACGTCAAGATATTTACAAAAATCAATTCTGTTTGACGTCTATATTCTAAGACTTACTCATACTCAGGTGGCATGTCCTCCACATCAATGGTGTCCAGCTCAACAGCTTGATTGCTTTCCCCTTTCACTGTGTGCAGGGATGTACAAAAGAAAGCCAGCGTCAACTTCTAAGTTAAGCCCTGTCACACATTCATGAACTTGGCCTCGAGAACGCTAGCCAAACGCCCGCTGACCATGGTTAAGAGTGGGTCGGCTGGTGTTTGGTGAATTCGGCTACAGTGGCATTCCTTAACAACCCTAACCACAAAACCCCCCTAGACCACCTTGGAACATTGTATTTACCCTTTCGTGGACTGTCCTTTGCTCCATTAAAGGAACCGATAAGAGTCTGAGTAAAATGACTCTTTTTACACAACTAAGTCTTTTAACCCATCAGAACTGCCCTGAGGAAGGTGACGGACGGTCACCGAAACATCACCTGAATATAAAAGACTTGGTTGTGCTAAAAGAGTCAGAGCTTTACTCAGTGTCTTACCAATCTGATGAAGCTATTCACGGAAACAATAAGACATCACCTTCTTTAGCCGGTTGGTCTTCCTCCTTGAAGAGTTCTGCCAGCACGGCGGCTCCTATGGGAGTCATCATGGCGGTGGTGGCCGTGTTACTGATCCACATAGACAGGAACGCCGTGGCCAGCATGAAACCCAGCATCAACCTAGATTAGATACAGCAACAATGTGTCGCTTCACATTAAACAAGTTTCATTTTTTTTTCTGAAAAATTTTATCAGGTTGGAAGAACATAAGATATAGGCCACACACAACCAGTACTTCTTTCACCTTGCTTAGGAGAGGTACATGTAGAACTCCAGTCAGAAGGTCTGAGTAAGGTGTCTGATAGACATTGAAACATAAGCAAGGTGAGAGAATTACTGATTGTGCAAAAATTCCTTCATCCAAGCTTTGTTTTCTTTTAGTTTTCAGGCTATGGAAAAAAAACAATATGGGGAATACAGCCTGGCCAATTTGAATCTGTCTTTGCAGCCACCCATAGATTTACCTGGAGATTAGAAGAAAAAGATCTACTTGCAGATTAGAAATAACGAAACTTTTAGAAGCACCTACCATCTTGGCTGCGACCCAACCAGTAGCAGCACCCTGAGCGCGATCCTCTTGTGCAGGTTGACATGTTCTATAGCTACTGCCACCATCAGGCCGCCCAGGAACAACACGTTGGTGTCCTGTATACACAGGGCAGATATCAGTACGTAAGTCAGTCACTGACATACAACTCCAATGCTAGAGGGGAAAGCTTCATAACTTTCTCTCCAAGCAGAGGTTTGGGTTTTGGCTTATTTTTGGCGTGTTTTCAGGCTTTTGTTAATCAGGGTTTCTTTTTTGCACTTGTATGGCTTTTTTTACGCCAACCCAACTGGTGTAAAAATAGATACCAGACTACAAAAAAAGCCTAAGATCACGTCAAAAATAAGCCAAAACCCAAACCTCTGCTTGGAAAAAAGCTGGAACCTTTTGAAGCACAAACTTACAAACTTCCTAATTGCTATGTTGCAGTAGGAAGTTGGTCATGACGTTATGAATCCTGTCCGCTCTTCAATTGCACTTATAACAAAACAACTGCTGCCAAGGACGTTGCGGCCACAAACTACACTTTAGCCACAACATGCAGTTTCATTTAGTACAGTTCGTACCTTCAGGTAGTTCTTGCTGACGTCCCCAGATTTCTGTACCCCCATGACAGGGTACAGTATAAGCGGGATGAGGGCTGTAACAGCCAGAGGAACCACCTCGAACATCCAGTAAAACGCCATGATGATCACCACATAGGCACATGCTGCTTGCTGTGAAAACAAGGGATATCAGTGTAACAGTAACTGTTATAGATGTGTGTATGGGGCATGTGTGGCGTGTGTGTGTGCATGCGTGTGTGTGTGCGTGTGTGTGTGCATGCGTGTGTGTGTGCGTGTCTGTGTGTATGTGCTTGTGTATGTGTGTGTATGTGTGTGTGTTTGTGTGCACGTACACTATTGTGTCAAGATAACAAATCAGACATGTGTCAATACTTTAAAACGATTCTCAACTACCTCGTTTGGCTGGCTATTGCCATACCACCTAGGGGTCATTGCCCTAAACGTAAACACTTGGTACTAATCCCGGTATTGCATCTGTTATTTGCAGGATCAATCGCATAATCAATGAGTTTTCCACAAAATATGCTCTACATCTATCAAGCTATGCAACATGTTATCAAGGGTGTTGATGGCAAGAATTGGCAGCTTCTACGAATGACTGTTTGTGGTGTAGAATATTGCTCACAGTGTTACTTTGCTGAAGTGAAATGCTGGTGATTACATACCACATTGAGCAAACACAGTCGCCCTGAAACCTATTTTTAAAAGAAACTGTGTCATGTAAATAAGGACATTGGGCCATGTTGAGGTCAGTGCTTAGAAAGGACTGGATGAGTTTCTTCTATCTTGTCCATATATTGAACGTTTGTATTGTAGACCTGTACGCTGATTTGTTTGTCCCTTGAACTTTAAAAGGATAGTTTAATCAACACATTCACCTATAACATATAAGGTACAAACTATGCATAGAATGGGAGCACAGAAGAGAAACAATCATAGAATTTGTCTGGTATAGAAATGCTAGTATCACGCCATATGCTAGTTTCTGTAAAAGTATCAAACACAGATTGCTACACAGTCAGGTTCCATAATGCCAATACCTACTATTAACTCTTTAAATTTGTTTAGTAGGCTTACAGTCAAGCCCCATTTAAAAGTGGTGCAGTCTACAGATCTAGTCCAACTCTATCTGGGTCTTAACTTACCCTGTAGAATTCCGGCTCAGCCACACCAAAGTATATAGGCAGCGGACATGCAGCGATTGGGACAAACCAAAATATGACAGACGATCGGAAGGCCCACAGTTCTTTCAACACGTTGTAACCCATCTTGCAGAGAATCTAAATGTACCGCCCTAGTGCTAGTCTAGTGCCTTGAAGGTTGTCCAACTACCAGACTAGGTAAACTCATACTTGACTCTGTTGTGCAATGTTTGAACCAGGCCTAGCCTAATAAACGTTTGTTGAACCGTCTTGGGTAGACAACAACGCCCCTTTATTCCACACAACAACAAAAGTGCACAGAATGTCCTGCGCAGTGGGTTACACTTTAATCAAGTTTAAGCCTTCAAAACCTGTCCAACAAGTCTTGACCTAACCTAGCCTCAGGCCTCCTGTCCTCGCATGACTAGATCACTATGTAATAAGACAGAACGTTACAGTGGATGCCAAAAATGGTTGAGTGGTTGAGTGAGTGGTTGAGTGAGTTAGTGAGTGAGTGAATTAGTTGAGTGAGTGTGAGTGAGTGCCAGTGTGTGTGTGTGTGTGTGAGTGAGTGAGTGAGTGAGGTGAGTGAGTGAGTGAGTGAGTGGGTGAGTGAGTGAGTGAGTGAGTGAGTGAGTGAGTGAGTGAGTGAGTGAGTGAGTGAGTGGGTGAGTGAGTGAGTGAGTGAGTGAGTGAGTGAGTGAGTGAGTGAGTGAGTGAGTGAGTGAGTGAGAGTGAGTGAGTGTGAGTGAGTGAGTTTTATCTATAAAATCAAATCAGTATTGGTTTAATGCACCAGGAAATTCTTCCTCAAGCAGCTGTTACAGTAACGTTATAGAGTCTACCCAGAGCTTTGCTTGAGTAACAATTTCCTATTAAAGCTTGTATGATCCCTGGATCAGTGGATGTCTAAACTTCATCGACGTATGTTACTTTAATAGCTGTATACAACCACTATGTGTGTTCTCATTCCAGCTCAAATCACTAACAGTTACGAAATACTTGTAATATTGCTGTATTGTACATAAAAAGCACAAAACATACCGGATATTTGTCTTTCCCTCCTTGCGAAAACGTCGTGCTGTCTTCCAAAATTTGGCGCTTGACCCCGACCATGGGTCATGACCCCGTGTCCAGCCTATGAGCAAAGAGCAACCCGATTACTCAAATAGTGTCGCCATATTTCTGCTTGTAGTATAGCCGTGGCGACTCTTGATTCGGGCTTACATTGCATTACCCTCAGCAAGATGCTGAGATTGCATTACCCTTGCTGAGGGTAATGCAATGTAAGCCCGAATCAAGAGTCGCCACGGCTACTTGTAGTATTACATTTAACACATTTACGGATTCATTTTGTCATTGTTGTTGATGTCATGAATTGCAGAAATTCACAGAACTGGACTAAAGGTAATATATTTGCAGGTTCTACATGACCGACTATTGAAAACAAAACAGTACATGTCGCATAAACAAAGACACAAGAAAGTAAGAAGTTTAAGCAATCCATTATGGATTTTAACAAAGTCCAATGCTCAACTTGCACACACATATTTTCCGTTAGGTGGCGCTTTTTAACAATTCAATGCATTAACGTTATATCAACAACTTCGGGAGCTCCTTGGTCAGACCCCAAGACTAATTTTCTTGTTAATAAACCCACTTTTATAATAACACCGTCTGTCTCCACATCGATTTGCTGTCTCCTGGACAAAAAAACAAATGTGGACTTTTACAGAAAAATCCTGTGCGAAACATGGACTGCAGAGAAACTGTAATCCCGAGTATCGATTGAAACGATTTGCAAGGATTTAGTAGCAGACAGTGTTAGAGCCAGTCTGAATATTTTTCAATCATCTCAATTTTGTTTCACGTACATGTACGTAACATCATGTCGAGCGCCGCGTTGACAATCCTATGTGGGTCCGGTGGCATGCATCTCGAAATCTTGACCCTCTGAAATTCTATTTCCCGCATTTTAGGGGAAAAATTTTGCTAGTAGGAACAACTGAAGCAGGTTTTTTGACCTTGTATTTCGGGTACATGACGGAGTAGATGGCTTCAAATACAAGTACTTCACTGACGTCTATACATATAGCCAGATGGCTTCCAATACCTCCAAAGAGTCTATTGTTGTAAAAGAAGTCTCCACCAGTCATCGTATTTTTTTCTACAAAACAAAACTTTTAGAACAACTGTAAAAATGTTTTGTGCCAAACAGCACATCTGTTAAGGACAACGAGGGAGTTGCTGTCTGACTCCAGGTCCACAGGGCCCTGCACAGTATATGTATATCACTACCATTAACTCAGTTTAAGCCCCAAGACACCTGCACACATGTATGCAGTGTTCACAGGGGAGTTCACTTCTGGAAACGAGTCAAAACTACGGGGAGACATGCCCTGGCCTTTATATGGCCATTTCCTGTTAGATCTTGGAGTGGAAGATGGTAACATTTTCTGACTGACCAGGTTTCCTGACAGGTAGTGGCAGTTTAAAGAAGCCTGGCAAGTCAGTTAACAGTACAATTTTCTACCCAAACATCTGCTTGGAGAATGGCCTTAAGGCTCCTGCTATGGTAGTAATCATAGTTCTCTATAACTTGTTTGGTGGTTCAGTGTTAACTGGAGAATTCTAGAAAGCAAATAAGGTTAAGAGAAATGTATGTGAGAGAAATACTATAGATTGTTAGATATAAACTCTTATTAGCCGATGGATAAGGAAAGAGCTGGGTTCTGTTTGGAATGCATGGAAGAATTTTGGGTGAAAAATTAATTAAACACTGTTTGACACCTGATTCTGTGTTGGCGTACCCTTTAAGTGTTGTAGAAATAACGTATTATGATTGTAACCTATAAAATTAGTCCGTGTGGTCATCATTGATTGCCCTGTAGTATTAAACAAGCAAGGTCTGCTTGATTTTGCCTATATTGTTCTAAGCTAGGTGGAGTTTGGAACGGGAGGTGACCTTTGTACATGGGATTTTTTGCAACGTCACAAGGAAGCCAGAGGGAGAAATGGCGACACTTTGGTGCGTTTTAAACAGTTTAGCTGCCAGGTTTCTGGGGTTTGTTTTAACATGTAAACGTTAGTGATAAGCAGCACTGGGTGCTTTTGAAAACAAAGCCCATGTATTTGTGAAAATCCTCAATGGTCATGTTTGCAAATGCTTGTTTACCTGACAGTTGCTTTGACGTGTACTGGAGGAAATGAAATATTGTATGTGTATTTTGTTTCGGCCGCTCTGTTAATTTCTTTAAAGAAGCCTGATAAGCAATGGAACGAAAGTTGTGTGGGCATAAGTGAAAAGTTTGTTTTTACTGCAGTCACTGAAAGAAACGACTTAACAAGATGGGTCAGAAAGCGTCAAAGGCAGCAAAACCGAGGAAGACCACCCCTGAATGCAGCACTGGGGAAGACGGGGCCACAAGTGCCATTCAACAGAGTAAGGGGTCCGGTGACATGGCGGTCCTAAATGCTCAGGACAGAGAAACTGGAGTCTTAGATGTGCAGGAATGCTACACGGACGAAGACGTGGTGGCATTCTCAGAAACAGGTAGGAGAAATGATATTCAGTCATTTGTATCTCCTATGACCATAGCATCATACATGTACATAAATACAAACTAGAAAGGTAACATTTGCAGAGCAAATACATAATGTTTACCTTGGTCTGCTCTGTTAACTTTACTCAAAACACATTCATATATGGTCAGACAGGAGTCTAAATCCCTCCTGCTATGAAATTGCAACATGATTGTATTATACATGTAAATCCAACACCACTTACCATGGTGACAGACTGTCATTGGCCTTTTTGGTTTGGAGAAGAAGAAACGGAGCAAATTTAAAACAATATGTTTTCCTTCGGTAAACATAACAAGCTTATACATACTTAATAGTCTATTATATTTAGTAAAATACACAATACAATTGCCTAATTCTGTGTCTTTACAGAAACCACAGTGACCCAAATTGCAGGCCAGAGTCAAGTGAGCGGCCAGGGCAACAAGGTTATCAACATCGGACCCAATTCCAACGTTAATATCTTCGACAGAACATCAAATCTAGATGATACAAACACAGGTGGGTACATGGTAAAAGCATCTATGGCAGTGTAGAGTATCTCTTTTCTAGTTTTGGACCTTTTTAACAAGGAGGCAAATTGCTATGAATGTGTGTGTGTGTGTGTGTGTGTGTGTGTGTGTGTGTGTGTGTGTTTTCCGTGTGTGTGTGTGTGTGTGTGTGTGAGTGAGTGCGTGTGTGAGTGAGTGAGTGAGTGAGTGCGTGCATGTGATTCTGTGTGTGTGTACGTTTGCTGTTTGGTAATCACTTAATTTCATACTTCTATAATATTTCTTTTCCAGTTCCCAGCATTGGCAGCACTACTGAAGATTTCCCACTGGCTCAATGTCAGGACGCGCTCAGGGCATATTTCAAGACCAGAATGAGTTACCTTCACCCACTAGCGTGGAATGAAACCTTCACCATGAAAATTCAGGACGTTTTTACGACTGTAGATCTCGTGACTCGTACACAGCAGGGAGGAAACATTGAACGACATGCCCTCCCCTCGACCGTCGATGCCTTGAGCGCCAGGCCCGACTGTCCCCAGCCCCGGCGCATTCTTGTCGAAGGTAACGCAGGCATAGGGAAGACAACAGAGGTTTCAAAGCTCGCTTTTGACTGGGCTGAGTCAGAGGGATGTTCTCCAATTCTGGAAAAGTATGATGTTGTCTTCCCAATCGCGCTGCGGAAGGTAGGTGAGTCTCAGTCCCTCAAAGAGTGTATCTTCGACCAACTCCTGCCAAAAGATGTGCCGTTCCAAGAGTCAGACTTGGAAACGTACTTGAAGGGGAATGACAGAGTCTTGATCATTCTGGACGGCTTCGATGAGTGGCCGACTATGAAGATCATGACATCACCGATCTCGTAACAGGTAGGAACCATAAGTTTGTAGTCCGCTTTTACAGAATTTCATCATCTAAACAGACCAAACCATACATTACAACAAGGAGATCAAATATGGAGGGCTACTGGCATGATTTCATGATTTTGTGGACGCCTGGGGTCACAGAAAGTAGGGCATCCCTGCAAAAAGGTTTTCCCAAGGGTTTTCAGGAATTTCATTAAGCATAGATGTGTGTCAGCAAAATTCCAGAGGACATTCCATGCCTGTGGATAAAATTCCTGTACAAGTCCTAGAATTCTTGCAAACTGCACACAATACTGTGCCATGAGGCACCCCCGGAGGCGTCGCCAAAATACCAATATAGGTGCCAATCCTTTCCCTTCTTCCCAGGTAAGATTCTCCGTGAGTGCTCCCTACTAGTCACCACCAGACCTTCCCACACCCCACAGCTGCAAGGTCTGATGTGTCCGGATACACGCGTGGAGATCACAGGGTTCAGCCAGGACAACATCCGCACTTACATCCACAGGTTCTTCAAGGGAGACCAGGATAAGGCAGCGGCCTTAGTAAAGAAGATGGACTCCTCCCTTATTCCTTCAGGCATTCTAGCAACGCCAATCCTGCTTTTGCTGACATGCATAATGTGGGAGGAGAATCCTGATATGGTCCTAGGGGGTAGAATTGGTCCACTTTATGATGAATTGGTTTCCTTCATCATAAGGCGACATTGTGCAAAGAACAACATTGTTTCTAATCAAGGTATTCCCGAAAACATCAGCGATGCACTCTTGTGTGCTGGTGCTCTTGCTTTCAATGGTTTGTTGCAGAATAATCTTGTATACAACAAAGAAGACGTGGCCAAGTATTGTTCTGGAGAGAGCTTACAGGAGCTTGTATTGTTAGGGATCCTTCACAGACAACAAAGTCCCTCTAGACTTAACCCTTCTGACCAGTTTTCCTTCTCCCACAAGACAATGCAGGAATATTTTGCAGGGTCGTATTTCGCAAAGAAGCTTCAGGATAAGCCAGCACAACAGCCAACTCTGAACACGTACCTAAGAACGGCTGGAAGTGTGCGAGAGTTAGAAAACGTTGTCATCTTTGCCTGTGCAAAGTTAGGGTGTGAGGCAGATGTTCTATTGGCTCATCTTGTCAATATCTACCAAGAGGAGATTGAGCCTTTGTATTATGCATTCACTACTCCGCTTCCATACAGATATATAGGGTCTTCTCTTTATTCTAAATGTCGGGCTACAGGGAATGAGGAGGAGTTTGAGAGGCAGACTGATTTAGATTTCTTTCGCTACCAAACATACCTTGAAATTGCACTTTTATGCTTCTATGAAAGTGGTTGCCTCTCACAGTTCGAGAACATCTTTCTCACCAAAGGTGTTATTCAGTTCTCTGGTGTGGGACCACGAGTCTACAATGCCCTGGAACATGTTCTGAAGAAAATTCCTTCTGAGTCACTTAGAAATCTAGAAGCCCTCAGGTTGATCAATACCAGGCAACGTTTTGTCGTTCCTATCATTGACAGCCTGAAGATGATGAACTTGTCAGAGTTGAACCTTCGCAGTGCTTGTCTTCGAGGTGACGACTCCAACACAGGACCCTGTGCCCGCCTCTCACAACAGCTGCCTCACCTGACAAGTTTGAGGAAGCTTGTGCTGTCTTGGAATGGTCTTCTCTGCTCAGACTTACTTGTTTTACTGCCTTCCTTGAAGACGTTGGTGAACCTTGAATGGTTGGATCTCTCTTTTAACAAGTTAACAGGTTGTGGAAAGAGTCTGGCAGAGCTGCCATGTTCCTTACGGAGACTGGAGTTTCTGTGGGTGCTTGACTGCGGACTTAGTCTGGAGGAGGTTCTTCAAATAGGTAAGGACTTACATGTTTTTCCTACATCATTGCTTTACTAGACTTTTCTACAATCCATGTGGTGATAACGTCAGACTCTTAAACTTGACATGACATGATTGACCAATAGACAGTCATACAATTTTCTATGTGCATTTTTAGTAGTAGTAACATTTTCTTGATACAGAATAGATGAACATTGTTTTCAGCTGTGCGAAACTATATTTATAAACTATATGTCATGACATTCCTGATTATGTTGTTGTTTTCAACATACAGCCACTGCAGTTGTGCAGCACTGTCCAAAGATGAGATTTTTTGGCTATGGAGGTACTATGACAGGTCCAGGTGGCGATGAGAAAGTTCAGGACGTGCTGAGGGGCAAGTGGCCTCATGCTACATACATGTATGCAAGGGTACGTAATCCAAAGTTCATGAATTCAAATTAGAGAACAGAGTACCCAAACATATCCATATATGATTATATCCCTACGAAGTCAAAGCTTGTTATCAAAACCTATAGACTCATACTGACAAATGAAGATACCTGATACTTAAGTAACTGTGTGATCACTCTACAAATGTCTTGTTACCTTGAGTAACTTACAAAAATTGACATTGTCTTTCCACACATTCTTTCCTCTAGGGAATACTGCATCTTGGGCAGCCAAAACCTCACTCCTAGATCCAACATACCATGAAGTGGTTCAGCACCAGTCATGCTCAAGCCGACAACAAAATCCAGCACTTAAAAGTACTTATTTAGACTTTCATTAAATGATTTATGGACCTGATTAGGCTGTTTCCACTTTCTAATGTACATATTGACTACTCTTACATTATTATGTTTACTGAGGGAAAACATATTGTTATTATTTTTTGCTCTGTTTCCTCTTGTTCTCCAAACCAAAAAAGGTCAATGACCTGAACCAGACTGTCTGTCACCATGGTAACTAGAGTTTGGTTACACACGCTTTTCAAAATGGCCGCGGAGATTGGAATTACGTCTATTTTATAGCAGACTCCTGTCTGATCATATATGAAATAGCAGACTATTTTATAGACTCCTGTCTGACCATATATGAAATGTGTTTGAGTAAGAATTAACAGGGCGAATATGCAAAGGTAAACATTATGCATTTGGTTTGCAAATGTTACTCTCTAGTTACAATGTCATTTCTGTAACAGCAGACAAGAATGCATAAGAACCAAGAGAGCTTGTTGATGTAAATGGTATATTTATTGACATTGGCATCAAAATTGGCATCACACACCTTTAAGGTGATATTTTGATCAGACCTACATGCACCATCTTCTAATCGAAATAGCATCAACATCCAAGGATTTCACCGTATTTGATGTTTCTACTATCTGAGTCTTCACCATACCATTTATAATATTGAGATTAAAACTTTTTAGATGTACTATAATATGGAAAGGACCATGTAAAGGTTAAGTGCCATATTTGCACAGATTTTTAAGGTTACCTTTAAACTTTGTGCTAGACATAATTATACCTAGTACCACCACTAAATGGACAAAGTTTAATTAAGAATGTCTTAGAAACTTAGAAATATCAGTGTATGCGTCAGTGCATGTATGTAGTTACTGTCTTTCAGTTTGGCAATGAAATTATAGCAGATACATTTATGCTCCTTCAGAACAATCACTAGCATATAAAATATCTCAATCATAAGAAAGTAAACTTAAGGTATAATGAAAACATCACACTATAAAAAAATGCATACATCAGATTCTGTATTGTCTAATTTTGTTACCCTTTCCTCACAATGTTATAATTAATTTGTACCATATTAATGGTACAAATAAAGGGAAGATTTGAGAGGTTGTTGAAAATTCTTGGTTCTTCCTTGCTGAAGTCTACATGCCTGGTGCAGACAGACTCTTGTCCATAAACTTCCTCTTGACAAAACACATCCACCACTGCAGAAAACAGACAAGTACAATTATCTTACATGTAACAGCCAAGCAACAATATAGGCTCATACAAGGTACACAACCTAAAACATTATTCAGGAATTTCTGAAGAAAATGGACTGGCCAGGTTATCTTAAAGGTACAAGCCAAGCAACAGGTTGGTCGATATAAGCTCATACAAGACAGAAAATCTACTACATGTACATTGTACTTCTTCCCCACAGCATATATATATATATATATATATATATATACGATGGTCACAGACCCCTTTTCACTTTATGCTGTGGGGATATATAGTTAGTTAGTTCCCCTAGGAAGCTTATTTGATAGAGCATTAAAGTGTGGTACGTTTAAAAGTATTGATCTACAGATCCTAGACTGGAAGTGAAAAATCCCAATACACTACCCGTCCTGTATTCATCTTTGCATTTGGTTCATTTTGACTTGTTGAGACCAACATTGCAAAAAATGTCAAATTGAACTATGTAACAGCATGTTTAGAGGTGCTTCATAACTAATACTGAGTATAAGACAGTGTGTGTCTTACCTTACTGGGCTGGTCAGTGTTAGGGTCAAACACCTTCTCACACAGCCTCATGCCAGTCTCCTGACGTAACTGAAGAAGGTACTGCTGCATGGAGTCTGGGGAAGGCACGGAGATAATCATCATCAACACTGATGGAAAATACGAGCTATTTAAAAGTGGTCAATTCCACAGCTCGGTCTTTGGATATACCTGAAAATACAGTCAAGCCTGTCTAAGGCGACAGTCCATGGGACCGGGGGAAGGTGGGCTTCTTATACAAAATGCATGGCAACAAGACAGAACAAGAAAACCCGGAAGTAAATTTGAAGGCACTTTTAGGTAGCCTGAGTAACAGCCTTTTTAGCTTTCATCAGCTCCCCAAGATCTGCTACTGGTAGCTTTTACATGTACTACTAGTTTTAGGGCCAAAAGTACTAGTATGCATTCTGACCAAGTTAAGCAAATACAAGTACCTGCTTCTGCCCTGTCCTTGGGTTTAGCATAGTGGGCATTCAGGGGGAATCCGGCCTCTCCAGGCAATGGCCACTTGCCCAGCGATAATGTCTGCATCTCCTTCTGTCCATTGTTCTTGGATGTACACTGCAGAGAATATTATGTTTTAAACCAAGAATTTTAATGAAATTGTAAGAATACAATACATGTGGGACAAAGACAGCTGTTGCTGGTGTTGTGCACTACACATAGGACATACTGATACAGGACAGACAATACTCATTTTCACTTGAATTATGCATCAATCAAGTGAGGAAAGTCATGTTAAGTGCCTTCCCAAGGGCATAAGATCGGTGGCATGCTAGGACTCGAACCCGGACCTCTTGGTTCCGAGTCGAGCACTCTGCTGTTGTGCCACACGACCCCACCCCATGTATGTGACAACCTGGCTTTTGCTGTGCAACTGTCACAATGGATCCAAAGTCATTACTCACCTTTTGTAGCTTCTTCAGACATTCAGAGATGTACAGAGTCACGTAGATCAACGTCCTGTCTGCTTCACTCTGGAACAGAATGGTGATCGTACATCATGTGTTACATACAACTTTTTGTCACAAGGACTTTTGGGGTCTTCTTAGGGGAGAGATGCTCCTAAATGGTTGATAAAAAATTAGCAAATTTTCATGAAAATACTAGGACAAAACCCTAAATTTGAACATTTTGGGAGAGGTGTTCAGAATCAGACTGTAGATGAAGCACTGAACTGCATGTGAAGCTATTTGACATGAAAATATCCCAACAAAGATGTTTGAAGAAAAACAGAAATGTGACAAAATATTTGATTTGTTGATGTCAATGCTACACTGAGCCACAACACAATTTCTTGAGTTAGATGTCAATTGAATTTCTTAAGATAGATTGAGTCAAATTCATGATTTGAATGAGTGAGGGACTCATGACAAACAGTTGTACATACCTTAATCTCATAGTTCTTGAAGAAAACATTTGCCTTGAAGAAGTGCATAGCTTCATCTATAATGTCAGACTCTCCTGAACAAAAAAAAACAGTAACAAACAATGTAGATATCCAGCCATCAAAACAATTACACACACAACAATAAATACATATTGGTGAAAACACACTCTAGGCTTCTTGTGTGAAGACAATTTACACAACCTACTTGCATCATATTTTATATCACTTACATGTACACAAGTTAGCCCTGAAAAGGTGACTTAACATCTTAACTAAATGCTCATGGTAAAACTGATTGGAAAAAAACACGCTGTTTTAACGTGTAATATATATAAAATACTACATGGTGTACTAGTATTCCGACCACCGGTCGAATCGCCCAAAGGCCAGAGGGAGACCTGAGGTGTGGGAGGGCTGGGACTAGTACTGAGGGTGATATTAGCATTACAAATTGGAGTCTCTCTCTGCAGAGAGACATAACTGTGAGTAAAAGGGCTCCTAACGGTGTGATTATTGAGTCTATTTGTGCCATTACCTGTTTTTGGTGCTGGTCCTTTAAACTGTGTCCTGATGGGGACCAGGGCCATGTTCCCCAGGGACTTGGTGGACTGGAGAGAGGAGTGGTAGGCCTGGGGAAGGAACGATACATACATTACTGATCATAATGTGCTAGCCTCCTCTGCAGGCCTCCAAGTGGGTAGGAGTTTTGACACTGCGTTTGTAGAATTTTTATTAACACATTTATTTGCCGGCCATCCTACAACCAGCCACACAGAGGTTTGTCTGGGTGGCTGGTTGTAGGATGGCTGGCAAAAAAACATGTTACAAAACACAGTATCAAAACTCCCAAACAACCGGAGGCCTGTACAGGAGGCTAATAATGTGCCCCCATTGACACAGAAGTCTATGGTTGACTGAAACTTTCTAGTAGACACAAAAAGACATATTCTCAACATGTTGGTGTGGCACAGCTACTAGTGCATGGACACTGCAGGCAAGTCCTTACTAGTATCTTAATACTTCACATGATATCATGCTTACACTTGAAGTTTGCAATTGTTAGTAAATCTTTAAATGCATGTGGAGTCAAACTCAAGAACAAGCATCCTCCTGCATTGAAATGTCAAAATAGATGTCCTCATATAACTGTCTATTATTACATGCATAACTGGTTTCTTTTACTGCAAGTTGTGTATTTGTTTCAGACTTTCAGTACAATTAAGTTGACTTGTATGTATGAATATTCTGTATGTACATGTATGAATGACTTTGTTCAACTGCTCTTTCCCATGCTTAGAAATGTGATGCTTAGTTTGGAATGCATTATCAACACACAACAACGAGTCTAAAACTGACTAATATCTGCATTCACATTTCACAAAATTCTAACAGCAAGCCATATCATATATACTCTATTTCTCTCTATATCGTGTATGTTGGTTCTGAGAAAGAAAAGTTCTAAAGTTGTCATTTATCTACACCTGGTCTCCCCGTCTTCTTACATCCAGTATTTGAGTAGGGCGCTACAGCAGGTGCGAAGAAAGAACAGAAGGTGAAGAAATGAAATTAAAGGGATAAGGCCACACCAATTTAATTTCTTGGTTAACGGATTCGCCCGCTTCATTTTTTTCTGATTTGCAAATAAAAATAAAAATTCAGAATCAACTGCAAAATGCTCATATTTTGCCCTGAACAGTTGAGAACAGTCCTTTTATTCCTAGTTGTTACAGTTATTCCATCTTTCAATGCAATGGTATCATTAAAAGTTCAAAATTCATTGTTTAAATTTTAAACCAGCCTGGTGTGTTGACTTCATGGCTCCTATCGTACCATTTTGGGCCATAATAGGATGCCTAGGCCTGGCCTGTTTTTATTTTTTATTTTTTCGCCCGCCCGCTCCATTATTTTTCTAGAAAAATCCGTTAACCAAGAAATTAAAATGGTGTGGCCTAAAGAATGAAAGATACACTGTAACAGAGTCAAAGAATGAAGCAGCAAAGATTTAAAAGCAAGGATACTGAATAAGCATGGCATGAGAAAATTGCAGATACTAGTAAGCGATAATGGCTGAAGGAATGCAGAAGATATAAGCAAATCTCAAGTTATACACTCAAATTATATCATGCAAATTATAACACATGATACATAAGAATGAATGTGAATGAATGTGCAGAAAATCAAGATGCTCAGTTATCATAAGATACACAGTGAATAAGAGAAACAAATATAATCTGAAAGGAAATACACATGTATCATATACTATATAGTTCCTGCATATTACCGGCAACTACATATGTACAGTATTACTGACATTACATTCTTTTGTGTATACGGACATCCAGCTGGGTTATTTCATTAAACTAGGATTAGGAATCTTGACTTTTTTACTCTTGAGAGCAGAGCAAAACTGCTTGGAAGACAATCACGAGTTATATATATCAAAGTCCCAGAAATCATCATACAAGATAGAAAAGTACAACAACAACAACAGCTCTCTTTTATTGCCTAAGTAAAGGTATCAAATTTCCACAACTGAACAAACAACCTTAAGCTTCTACAAATAGGGAAAATGAATCCATAAATGGTGGGACAAACATCCACACACTCTCAGTACGCACCTGTTAGGACAATCAGTTTGTCTTCCTTGGCTTCAATCCATTTTAAAAGTTGGAAAGAATATTTGTAGTGTCTGCTGGTGCTATGCCTAAGTTATACATTTTGTCCCTTAGTGTTACTGTAACACCCCTCCCCTTTATTTATCAATCAGCTCTATGACATTCTCAATTCTTACAATGATCTCCATATAATCAAAGTGGTGGTGACTACAGCTGAAGCTGCTAATGTTTTAGAGACAGAGAAATTGTCTAACAATTTAAAATCTAAGGCGTAACCAGCACAGAAGGCTGGAAATACTTACTTCCTCCTCCTAGTAATATAACAACTACCGGTAGTACTGGTCTTAGAGATATCGGCTCTTCTTGAAAATACACAAGAAATTTACGCCGATACTTTCAGTCTACAACACCCTACTAACTCGTTGCCCTTTCTTTATAGTTTATATAACACGAAGACAACTAAAGGGTCCTTACCGGCATGACTGCGGCGATTTTTTAGGACAAAATTATGAAGAAAATCTTCGGTGCAGATTCACACCCAAGAGGCGGAAGTAGGTCATGTGACTTCCCGATCCCAGAATCCCTAAGGCTATTTACAGGTTTGCGATAGCAAAACCTGTTCTATTTTACCTGGATTTTATGGGCGCCGCCATTTTGTTTCCCGCCATGCAATGGGGCAGGTCAAAGTTGAGTGAGGTGCATTGTGGGACCTGTCACAGGCCTACAGTGTAAGGACGACACCTAGCGGTATGTTTGGAAAGAGCAGTAACTGAAAGCCTACCTGGTTGTGTGTTCATTTTGGCAGAAGTGTATAGAGGCGATGGCTTTGACCTAATAAAGGCGAGTCTGATTGTGTTTAGCACTTGACGTAATTTTCTTAGCATGACGGGAAGGAAACTTGGCGGACCTAATGCGGCGGAACTTTAAAGTTGTTTTTTTTATGATGAGATGGTGAGGCTTTGGTATTAGTAGGGTGGTCTTGAGGATCTTGTCGAGGCCGAGCCTAGGGACGACAGATTGTCCTCAAGTACAGGGGTTAGTAGGTGGGATAAGTGGCATGAAGTTTTGGTATGAGTACACTTCCTGATTTCAAGTTCATTATGGAAATTGTAAGTTTTTTTTCAAGCTTACCAGTCCATTATACAGTGACTGTATAGGCGTTTGTAAACGTTTTTACGACCTGCCTTTCAGGCTGCTTGAACTTAACAATGCCGTCGCTTGCGACTCTCCATCTGTCTGAAATCCCCTGTCCTCCACCCAACCAAGGAACATAATTGAAGTATCTGATCAAAACGTTAATTATAGCTCACTTTCAACCTATCCTGATCTAATCTAATTGTCATATCCCATAGCTCTGGTCAAATCCATTAAATGACACCTTTTCCTTCTGTGTGAGGACTTCTGTGTGGGGTGAACATTTTTCCACGACATACTATACACTTGTGGGATGACCCGAGGCTCGGTGTGTCAACTCAACGGAAGCTAGCCTTGCCTACAGGTCAGCCAACTGCGCGACCCGATCTCCTACCTCTAATTTGCAGCCGTCAACTTCAATTGTAGGTTTTGCCCAGAGGGGCACGTCTGAGTCTACACATTAAGTTCTATGTTCGCTGTATAACCTCTACCAGACTTCAGGAGACAGCTCAGGAAAGGGGGCCTGCAAGGGGGGTCCCGACAACGATCTATGCTGAATTCGGAAACTTCTTGATTTTTTAATACGCTTTACGATAAATTCCAAGTGGCTATAACGCATTACGTAGAATTAAAACGGCGAATATGCTCTACAGAAAAGGGCTTGCGGGCCCCCCAGGAAAGAGTAGAAATTGACCAGATAAAAAGAAAACATGCCAGTGCAGGGGATCCGGAGTTGGTCCGCTAGAGGGTAAAGCGAGGCGAACCGTATATTCTCTGTTTGTGAACAGCATAACTCAAGAAGCTTAATATGCATTGCCATGAAACTTGGTAGGTGGGTCAAGGTCTTCATAAGAGCTAGGAATGATTAGATTTTGGGCCCCCTGGCGGCTTTCCTAGGTACTGCAGCAGAACTTCCGGTTTTGATATCTCGCGATCTGGACATGCTAGGGTCATGAATTTTGCTTGGTAGATAGCTCTTGGGGTAGGGAAGACGTGACATGAATTTTGCTTGGTAGATAGCTCTTGGGGTAGGGAAGACGTGACATGAATTTTGCTTGGTAGATAGCTCTTGGGGTAGGGAAGACGTGACATGAATTTCGGTAGGTAGGTAGCTCTTGGGAAGAGGTGACATGAATTTCTGTAGGTAGGTAGCTCTTGGGGTAGGGAAGACGTGACATGAATTTCGGGAGTTCGGTACGTGGGTCGGTGGGTCGGGAGTCCGGTACGTGGGTCGGGAGTCCGGTACGTGGGTCGGGAGTCCGGTACATGGGTCGGGAGTCCGGTACTTGGGCAGGCCCGCCCGGGCACTTGACTTGGGCAGGCCCGCCCGGGCACTTGACTTGGGCAGGCCCGCCCGGGCACTTGACTTGGGCAGGCCCGCCCGGGCACTTGACTTGGGCAGGCCTGCCCGGGCACTTGACTTGGGCAGGCCCGCCCGGGCACTTGACTTGGGCAGGCCCTCCCGGGCACTTGACTTGGG